CTGGGTGTGGATACGGTAACTAGGGTTACTGGGTGAGGGTACGGTAACTAGGGCTGCTGGATGTGGATACGGTAACTAGATATGCTGAGTGTGGGTACGGTAACTAGGGCTGCTTGGTGTGGATACGGTAACTAGATATGCTGAGTGTGGGTACGGTAACTAGGGCTGCTGAGTGTGGGTACGGTAACTAGGGTTGCTGGGTGAGGGTACGGTAACTAGGGCTGCTGGGTGTGGGTACGGAAACTAGGCATGCTGGGTGTGGATACGGTAACTAGGGTTGCTGAGTGTGGGTACGGTAACAAGGGCTGCTGGGCTCGGGTACCGTCACGAGCTGGTGATTATGCATCCCCCTGCGTCTCAGTGTCCGGAGGTGTGGGGTTGCTACAGACAGGAGTGCCGACCAACTCCTACATTATTAACGTTAATCACTATCGCTCCGTGAGACTTACTCGTTCATATAGATGAAATGATCTGTAAAACATTCAGCATTATGTCTATAATCCCTACACGTAGCAACAACATCAACAACATTGTAACAACACTTACGTGAAGGGGATTTGCTAGTATTTAATGCCAAATAATACCGGTTTTTAATCTTGAGTGTGAGTGGATGTTCCATGTCCCCTGCTACTGCTGATTTCATACTTAAGGCTTTTTATTATATTTTCCTGGGAGTGTATGAAGACAGAAACTCGTTTTGGCCATTTTATTGTTTACAAGATATGTGAGTGCCATGTATAATTTGGATACGTAACTGGTAACATAAGCAACACTCTAACCTGTTACATGTTAACGGTGTTATAATGGACGTTATAATTTACACAGCGACATCGCTAGAACTGTAATGTTTGTTTGTTTGTTTGTTGTTTAAGGTCGCATTAAGCACTATCCCACCTATATGACGACGGCTGTAAATAATCGAGTCTGGACCAGACAATCCAATAATTGATACCATGAGCATCGATCCACCTAATTGGGATACGATGACATGCATCAACCAAATCAGCGAACCTGACCACCCGATCCCGTGAGTCGCCTCTTACGACAAGTATGGTCGCCTTTAACAACAGGGGGCACGGGTGGCCCAGTCGTCTAAGGCGCCGCGATTCGCTGTGCAGAGTTGCGTCCCTTGGGCACGCCAGAAATCTATGATTATGGGTTCGAATCCCGGTTCGCCCCGATTATGTTTCTAGGTTTGTCAGCCCCATACCCGTGATCGTTGGTTTCACCGAAGTGGTAAACGCCTGAGACCTGCATCACTTCGGGCTTTCCTCCCACATTAAGCTGACACGCCGTAATGTAACTGAAATACTGTTAAAAGCGGCGTTAAACCCAACTCACCCACACTCACTTTTACAACAAGCATGGGTTGCTGAAGACCTATTCTAACTCGGATCTTCACGGGTGACAACTGTATTGAAAAGATTGATCATTAGTTATTTTAGTAGGTACTGCACGATATAAATAGGATACATGTTCATGTCACAATTTCACATGTTGTATTTCGGGATTACGCTAAGTAAAGTACGTATTTTACTACTTAGCGAATAGTCTATCCAGGATTCGAACCCACACTTACTCAGAAAGGCTACCCCAAATATGACAAATATTACTCCTTTCTATCAAGGTATTGTCTATTGATACATGTTTTCGAAAAATTACATTTGTTTAGGCTTAACCTGAACGAATACGAGCAAACAAATAAACATTTGAAGCATAGTAAACAGGCAGCTAGGCATCACACGTGGCCCCTACTGCGTTCGTGGGCTTACTTACCCACCACAGGCAAATCCAGAGGGACCCCTCACGCACCCGCCCCTCTTTTGAAAACCAAATGCAGTATGTTGTAGTCAGTAAAATTATCTGGATATTTTGATATTTTGGACCCTCTCTTTTTTAAAATGCCGGCTCCGCCCTTGCCCACCCACCAACCACCCAAGCCAGGGTGGAGTAAAAGACATCGCCCTTGCCCAACCACCCACCCACCACCCCAGCCAGGGTGGGGTACGAGACACCGCCCTTGCCCAACCACCCACCCACCACCCCAGCCAGGGTGGGGTACGAGACACCGCCCTTGCCCATCCACCCACATACCACCCCAGCCAGGGTGGGGTACGAGACACCGCCCTTGCCCAACCAACCACATACCATCCCAGCCAGGTGTGGGGTACGAGACACCGCCCTTGCCCAACCAACCACCATCCCAGCCAGGGTGGGGTACGAGACACCGCCCTTGCCCACCCACCCACCACCTCAGCCAGGGTGGGGTACGAGACACCGCCCTTGCCCACGCACGCACCACCTCAGCCAGGGTGGGGTACGAGACACCGCCCTTGCCCACGCAGGCACCACCCCAGCCAGGGTTTGGTACGAGACACTTGAGATTGGCTGTTGACGAGGCTATGAGATAAATATATAACAGACACCCCACGAACATCGGTTGTAAACTAGAGTGCAGATCTACTTCATGTTGAGAGTATTGCTTACTTCACGTAGGCGATTTATTCATATGTTGTCTGTATCCGTGGTTGCCGTCACCAGTAGCTGTCACTCCTGGTGTACATGACAGTCACGTGTGCCTATCGATGCTACAGACGTGATTATAGAGGAGGTGGTGATCAAATATTGACTTGAGCTTTACTTGCTCATGCATTTGGTTTCCAAAAGGTGGGGCCTGGGCCCTCTTGCCCCCTCCCCCCACCTCCTCCCTCTCTGGGTCAGACTGTGATTACAGTTATATAAGCGAACGTGCTTGTCATTCTGTGTCTGTGAATCAGTTGTGTCTAAATCAGGCCCACAAGTCACTGTGTAGAGTTATGTCCCTTATGTGTCACACGATCCGATGATCATTGGTTCGAATCTCAGATCAACCCTTATGATCATTGTTTGTCAGCACCATACCCGTGAACGCGGTTACCCAAAAGTAGTAAACGTCTGGCGTGCATCATGTTGGTTTTCCCCACATAACACGCCATCTTATAACTGTAATACTATTAACACGCAACCCACTAACTCTAACAAAACTAGATTCCAATGCCTCAATTGGGTCAGATGTATCCTCTCTCTGTGGATACATTCATTTCCTTGGTGTGTCCTCTAATTGACCACGAAGAACTTGCCAATGTCAGTCAACGGAATCACTAAATACATAATACATTAGGTGTACTTAGTTTCGCCTAGCAACTTATTCGGTCCATCTGAACCTAAGCCCATCCCAGCTCCCTACGATAACACAACAACACGTATCTGTAAAACCATTACGCCTATATGTTGCCCCGGGCCAGGTGAGCTAACACTAATATGGAGACGAATATGCCTGATACGAACTTCAAGAGAAGTATGAACACATTTACGTATAATGTGTAATCAATAAAGTCGTCAAAGCATGGAGGGCAATGGGTGTGTTCCTTTGCAATCATGGGGGTATATCTACCGCTGATCTTGTGCAGTCATAAAAAAAACTCGCTCGCGTTAATCTGCGTGGGTTGATAACATCATCATTGAATAAACAGCTGTCGAGGCAGGTGGTATTAATATCAACTATTCCCAGAAATAAGAATTAAATCAGCGTTACAACATGTTGTGTTGTGCAGTGGAAGGCGACGTTCACGGGTCTACCTTTCGTCTTTTCTACTCCACTGGAAATTAAACGATTATTCGGGAACTAAACATGATTCTCTTCCTATGACATAATGGGGAACTAAACGTGATTCTCTTTATATGACATGTGGGGAACTAAACGTGATTCTCTTTATATGACATGTGAGGAACTAAACGTGATTCTCTTTATATGACATATGGGGAACTAAACGTGATTCTCTTTATATGACATGTGGGAACTAAACATGATTCTCTTTATATGACATGTGGGGAACTAAACGTGATTCTCTTAAGATGACATGTGGGGAACTAAACGTGATTCTCTTCTTAATGAAAAATAAAGAAATTATGCAAGGTCTATGACCACGAATGCAGGAACGAATAACTGACTATAGGAGCAAGTACACACTTAACGTTTCTAAGGGCCACGTATATTGTCCCATCTAGTTTATACCAAGACCACGAATATTGGTCCAACGACGGTGTAGCAAGTCCCAAAGGATTTTTATTGTCTATCTCTAATCATGAAACCGATAACATATTACTCGAGGGTGCTAAACTTTGTCTTCTGATATTCTGCTGGGGGCACAGTTCGCTTAATAAACAGTTAATCCTAGCAAGCTGCTACGAATGCAACAAAGCATTTACAATTATTGACCTGTGTTCGCCGCTTTATAGCCATGCTGTTGTGTACATGCTAATAAACATTAATCTAGTGTTTCTAGTGTGTCATATGAACGAACGGAAAATGCTATATATTCTTAACTTGCTGTATATTAACAGCGAACCGAGAGTATGGAAGCCCTGTTGAGAAGTGTGCCTTTTAATGAAGTTTTCCTTTCGTTCATGCACGATTTCCCAAATATGCATTCCAATGTTATAATTGTCATTGAGGCTAAAAGATTAGATTTATAAAGAAATAATTCATTAATTTTATTCTCAAATGTAATTGATTCCGACAAAGGAATGCATACTCTTAAAAATACTTTGCCTTTTTGTGGAATCATCTAGTTTGAAATGCCAAGTTTATTTTCACACAAGCCTGATCACTCGTGTTGTGCAGGGGCGGATCCATCATTTTTAAAAGGGAGGGGTCCAAAATATCAAAATCCTCTCTTAGTCAATTTTAATGTCCACAAAATACTACATTTGGTTTAAAGGGGGAGGGGCTCCTGACCTCCCATCTAGATCCGCCTGTGTTGTAGGTTGTAGGCGGTGCGTTGGTATGGATAACAATGAGATGGTTCCACAAAGTGTTATATATATTACTGCTTAATACTATGTAGTTAATATCTTGTAGTTATTCGTCAGTAGTATTAGATGTGTGACTTACCCATGTAACAATGCTTTACATTACTTCCTCTTTCTCTTCATCTGAACCTTTGCCTCTGCTCATCTAGATCAGCCTGCTACAGAAACCAACACAGATAACACAGATAACACAGATACCAACACAGAACAAACAACGACAGAACAAACACAGGAGAACACAGGTGAGGTCACGTGATGTCAACAGTCATGTGATGTGGTCACGTGTGCACTACACTTGTCTCTGTAATTCATGTCATGTTTTTAACACTTTTTGTAACACTATAACCTCGATAACAAACTAATGATCCACATCTTAATGTGTCTCATGAATAGTCGTTTTCAATCAAATTAAAGGAAAAAGGTCATAAAATGTTCCACCTGGATTTCACTGTCGTGTACGGTTCATGTCTGATTTAGTATGGTGCCTTCAGAGGGGTGGCCTTCTCTGCTTTGTGATCAGCACCACGCCATTGAGTTAGGTATATATTGAACACGTCCCATTTTAATTCTGGAAACCCATTTATCCAGAAACTCTCCGTGCTTTGACTAGTCTCGGTCAAAGGTATTCACAAAATTCAATGTCCTGTTTTCATGGGAATGTTCTTAGAAAGTACAAATGAAAAACAAATTTAAACTTTGTTGCCCATGAGTATGCCCATGGGCGAGAATATTTTCCTTTGCTCAAAACTCATGTTTTGTTTTGCAAATACATAAAGGTGTTTCTGCAAGTATCATGACACATAATTCTACTCATTTTAACTTAATTCCACTATTTCATAGCGATATTAAAATATTTCGCCAATGAGACTGGCCAAAGCACGGATACCTTCTGGACAAATGGGTTTCCAGAATTCAAATGGGGCGTATTATTTTATTTCAGGCATGTTACAGATACTAATTAAGCACACAACAATACTACCATTTCTTGTGTATAGTGGAAGAATACAGAGCCACCGGTACTTCCGGGTCCCGTGTTTCCAATATTAGCTATGTATTACGGGACTCGTACTGGTGGCAAGGCAAACATGATCAGTCCATGACTGGAGTAAATGAATGGCGTGTGTCCTGTGTTGTCATGCATGGTGATATAGCTCAGAGGCTATTCAGCTTCACTGCTTTATTCCCCGCGAGGATATGCTCTCCAATTACATTTGTCAGTAAGCTGAAATAAGGCCCGTGTTATTCTGTGTTGTTTGTGAGGTTAATATGCTATTTCGTGATGTCTTTAGCGCGTAGTATGTGAATAAATGCAATCATGAGTCGACATGGCGTGAAGGCGGAATGACATTGCGACAGGTACAAGAACGATGCTTCCGGTCTTCATTGTTTGTATTTTTAGTCTTTTTTTCGGAGGGTTAATTGATATGTTCTGAGCCTCATGCATGCTTCATCCATGAGTTACTCACAAACAGGTGATATGCAAATTGCATCTCAAGGCACGTGAGGCTTCCAATCTCACCGTACACAGTAATGACAGTGAAGTGTGAATTTTCAAGTGTATATACTTTCTTTTGCCTGGTAGTTAGGACGGAATTGCGTAACAGTGACATCTTTTATTGCTGACATTACATGGGGCCATCCATTGACACTAGGGTCTACTGACCAAATTGTTTCGCTGTGACCAGTCAGTAAAATAATATAAGCAGGGGTCTGTTGGCCAGTGCAAAACAGACAAACTTTAAGGAACGTGCATTGATCAAGTACTTGCAGAAAATGGGAAAACTCCAAAGGGAAAACACCAACAGCCATCCATGAAGATATGAGTACAACACTAGAGAAGGATTACCCTTCCCACGCCACCCCAAAGAAGTGGGCAGCAGAGTTAAGGCGTGGCAGAGAGAGCCTGAAAGGCCTGAGACGTCAGCAACACCAGATAGGATCCAGAGAATCCACGAGGAGGCAATGACCGACCAGCGAATGTCCGAGCTCATAGAGCTAGTTCAGTAGGAATTTCCCGGGAGAGTGTACGTTCCATTATCACAGAAACATTGGCAATGAAGTGTCCGTATTGTTGCCAGATACCAGAATTTTGCAACTGTTAAAGACGCACCAAACACACTATGCCTCGTGATAACCTAGCCCCGTTTGCATAGGATCCAAACAGGTTGTTGTAACGTATTGTGACTAGTTCCAGCCTGACATCACCACCACCAAAGAAGGCAAAGAATGCCCCATCATGATGCTGCCCTCTTGAGTCATTGATGAATCAAATTAAGACTGTGAGACGTTGGAAGCTGTGAAAATGTGTGCTCTTCCATAAGGAGAATGCGCCAGTGCACAAAACAGTCATTACGATAGCTACACTCCAGGATTGTGGGTTTACTACCACCTTATTCTCCTGATCTGGCTCCGTCCGTCTTGCTCCCAAACTCGACAAAAGATCAGGCAGGGACCCATTTCGAGTCGCACGATGACGTTATAGCAGTTTGGGAGGGGGGACTTTTTGGACAACCAAGGAAAGGACCTGGGATAAAATCCCTCAACATCTTTGACAATAGTGTTTCAATGTGGCCGAGGATTATGTTGACAAATAAATCATTTTATAGCCTTTAGGTCAAGGCTCAGAACTTATCCACCACTCCTGTTGTGTAAGCAGAGGGACATTATCGAAGGCAGATTTCGTTGATTAGTGTACCACACCTTATCAACTGATTTCAATAATAGGAAATGCCTATTGGACTGAGATCGTAGGAACCATTAATTCATTTGGTGTGATGTCACCCACAAGCATAACACAGATACCGAAATAGGAATGTTCGAACTATATATCGCATTAATATTGCGCATATTGTATAATTGAAGTGTCATGTATCAGTACGTGACTTAGATGACATTAAACCTGAGATAGGTAGCTTGGCTCGACAAAGCTAAGCTTGAGATTAGTGTGTTATACATGTTCCGTGTTTGAGTGTTGTGTGCTATTCCGCTATTGAAGCAGGGTAGGTGTGAAACAGAATGGCGTGCAAGCACCACGTTATCTCGAACTACTGTCGGATGTAGCCAGCTTATTCTAACCCGATAGAGTTAAGAACGTATTACAGATATATACACATCTGATGTGGATCCAGCGCAAACATGCAGATACATCTGATGCACTGACGTGATGTCGAAAATTATGCGGTTTTCTTTTTACATCCTCTGGAGTTACATTGGCATTTAGTGTAACAACTAGGTACTACCAGTTTCTACCCATTGTCTGACAGTGTCGCCATACCTTCAACTAGGTGCTAACAGCTTCTACCCATTGTCTTCCAGTGTCGCTATACCTTCAACTAGGTGCTACCAGCTTTACACATTGTCTGACAGTGTCGCCTTACCTTCAACAAGGTGCTACCAGTTTTCACCCATTGTCTGACAGTGTCGCTATACCTGCAGCTAGGTGCTACCAGTTTCCACCCATTGTCTGACAGTGTCGCTATACCTGCAGCTAGGTGCTACCAGTTTCCACCCATTTTCTGACAGTGTCGCTATACCTGCAGCTAGGTGCTACCAGCTTCTACCCATTGTCCGACAGTGTTGTTATACCTGCAGCTAGGTTCTAACAGCTTCTACCCATTGTCTGACAGTGTCGCTATACCTGCAGCTAGGTGCTACCAGTTTCCACCCATTGTCTGACAGTGTCGCTATACCTGCAGCTAGGTGCTACCAGCTTCTACCCATTGTCCGACAGTGTTGTTATACCTGCAGCTAGGTTCTAACAGCTTCTACCCATTGTCTGACAGTGTCGCTATAGCTGCAGCTAGGTGCTACCAGATTCTGCCAATTGTCTGACAGTGTCGCTATACCTGCAGCTAGGTGCTACATGCTTCTATCCATGCCATTGTCTGACTGGGTTGCTATACCTGCAGCTAGGTGCTACAAGCTTCTATCCATGCCATTGTCTGACAGTATCGCTATACCTGCAGCTAAGTGCTACCCGCCTCCACACATTGTGCGACAATGTTGCTATACCACCAACTAGTTACGACAAGCCACTACCAACTGTGTGACATGTATGGTGCTAGGTGCTACCATCTTTATCAGTCGTGGGATAGTGTTGCTATCGCCTACTACAAGTGTTGCAAGGAGGAGCTATCAGCCTCATCCCATCGTGTAACAGTGACCTGCAACTAGACCATTACGCATACGCCCACCATCTGGTCATTCAATGGATGAGTGGGTCATTTAAGTGCATGGTACTGTACACAAAAAAGATGAGCACCAGCATAAAACCTACACACAAATTTTGACCCTAAGCTGAGGAGCAGCCAGCCGTACCGTTCGGTCTGAACACTGGTCCTCGGACTATTACGTTCCTTGGTGTTCGTTACTTTTGGGAAAGTATTTTTCGTTTCTAACAAAATATGAAATTGTGAGTGGATCATCGGAAACGTATCGAGGTATCCTTATTTCGAGACAAGAGGAGCGCTGATACTAGACCATTGTGCTGATAGCCAGTCTGTAGGTTTCAAACAGTTAAACGGTAATAGACGATAATTCGAGTTAAATGAGTTCGTGTTAGGGAACTATTTTTTACAAATGTATGCCTGCGCAGAGCTTCGGATTACTGGAGTGCATTTAACTAAGAAGTAAACAAATCCCACTCGTCGTTTATTTCTCATATGAGATATCAACGTTACGTACAGCCTCTTGAATGATGTTATAAGAAAGTACACGCTTTAAAACTATTTATCCGTATTTAAAAAATGATGACTCCCTGAATAGAATCCGATCACGGCAATGTGGACAAGTCCATTCTATGAACAGGGGGTTAGATTCGGTTTTCCCAGTATATTTTCACACTTTTCACGTCGTTTATCTGGACCTTTTCTCCCAATTCCGATTTCCATATCTCTCCAATGTTGTATGCGATCGTTCAGCCATTGCTACATCTATTGGGAACAACTCACTAGACGCTTCCCTCTCAAAAATAACGTCGTCCAATGTACGACGTCATCACTTTGCGAGCGCATGTTTGAATTTCCAGAAATGACTTCATGATAGAACAACGTTTTCTCGTGAAATACACCTCGCTTCGTTCTTCATTGTTCTTTGCGATTTATACCGTAGCTATCTTAAAAAGTTAAATCTCTGTGTGTTGCTTGGCTTTTGTTTGAACCTGACAGAGAATGTAGTTCAACCGAGCCATGACAAATTGTCTGCCACGTGGCGTCTTATGAGCCGTTGTTCAGTTAAACTCAAGGTAGAGATTTCACAGAGTTCGTGATGGAAGACAAACCATGCCCTGTTTCACTGGTACAGTCACGTGTGGGGCGGCCGAGACATCCTAGTTACGTGTAAACACATCTCGTGCTATGGTTACATGGCGACCAGATGGTCTTCCGATGTCACACGACCATTATACATAGCAGGATTATATAACCTCTTTAAGAAAACCCGAACATGGATAACTATCGTCAGGTAACTCGAGCACTCGCAACCCCAGTGGTTACTATTGGCCGATATTGTTTAATCCTGCAGTGAATTTCTTCAGACTTGTTTGCTTGGAGATAAAGGTTGTTTTTTTCACATTCATTACAAACGGTCTCCCTGGCGTGTGGTTTGGACGAACCCGTTGCTATGTAAGCAGACTCTTTGGGCTCTTGGATAAACAAAACATTCTCAACACTTCAACACAGTATTAATGAATGTATCGTTTACAAAAATCAATAGCAACGTGGAACCCATGTATAACTCACAAACAAGCAAACGGTGTGAATACTACTCAATGATTTATACAGATACTGTGAGGATGGCGGCTGCAGATGGCGAGCTGTGGGATTGTCAAGGTTTTATGTTCTGGGTTGTGCACGACACGGAGTTTCATACTCCACTAAGACTTCTACAGTCTACATAGCTGGGACAAGAACAATGCGACGAGATGTGTGTTATTAGTGCCACACGTTCTAAGTAGAGTTGGGCGGTCGGGTAGCCTATTGGTTAAAGCGTTCGCTCGTCACGCCGAAGACCCGGGTTCGATTCCCGACATGGGTAGATTGTGTGAAGCCCATTTCTGTGACATTGCTGTGATATTGCAGGAATATTGCTAAAAGCGGCGTAAAACCATACTCACTCTCTCACTTACTCTAATTAGAGTTTGTTTGTTTGTTTGTTGTGTAACGCCACACTCAGCAATATTCCCGCTATATGACGGCGGTCGGTAAATAATCGAGTCTGGACCAGACAATCCAGTGATTGACATTATGAGCATCGATCCATGCAATGGGGATACGATGACATGCATCAACCAAGTCAGCGAGCCTGACCACCCGATCCCTATATTCACCTCTTACGACAATCATAGACGGCTTTTACGGCAAGCATTTGTTGCTGAAGAGCTTTTCTATCCCGATTCTTCACGGGTCCGTTGTAATCAGAGAAAAGATGGTATAGGAAGGTACACAAAACATCCGGGAGCTGGTTGGTCGCAAGTCATTCCTTAATAGATAAAACATACAGAAAGTAAACATACCAAAAAATTCCATCGTTTTCAACTTTTTTTGTTAAGACGTAAACAACAAACGGACATATTCAGGCGTTCTGCCAGTTTTCATCTTCTGAATGTGTGAATACCCTGCGTAACATGCGACTCTGAAAATGTTAAACAATGCGTTAAACATATGCTACACATGTTTAGCTTAAACGTGTTCAGGATTTCTTTGAAACCTAAACGAAACAAGGTTTTGTTGCGTCAGTAAACGCGAAAAAAACTTTCCATATTCATACGAAATCTCTGTCAAAAGCAGAATCGATTGTACGATTCCGACTATATCTTAAGCATGTTTTTATGAATCACTATCAAAAAGTGATGAAACCAGGTGTTCGCGAAAAGGTGAGCGTATCCTGCCATACCAGTGCCACCCGTCACAAACACATGCAAAGCCAAGTCAATTGTTCAGTGATTGACCTCATAAGCATGGATCCACGCAGTTGGTATACGATATCATGCATCAACCAAGACAGCGAGGTTGAATATTGCTAAAAGCGGCGCAAAACCATATTCACTCACTCCCTGCAACGCATTATCTATAGAAGGTACAGGGAATATATATAAACCTGACGAGTCAATACTTTTACACATGACCATTGAGAGTGAGAACTTATATATACCTACAAACACGACAAATGAGTTTAGATAAAAAAAACTCGCTCATTCTAAAACCATACTGGAGCGAATGCAAACCATGGCCACTCACTGTACAACGAGGAGCATGGGTGGCTCAGTCGTCTAAGGCGCCGCGATTTGCTGTGCAGAGTTGCGTCCCTTGGACACGCCAGAAACCTATGATTGTGGGTTCGAATCCCGGTTCGCCCCGATTATGTTTCTAGGTTTGTCAGCACCATACCCGTGGCCGTGGGTTTCACCAAAGTGGTAAACGTCTAAGACCTGCATCACTTCGGGCTTTCCTCCAAAATCAAGCTGACAAGCCGTCACGGTGATATAACTGTAATACTGTTAAAAGCGGCGATAAACCCAACTCACTCAGACTCATCATTGCATCATTGTCTGTTTCTTGTATATTGTGGGGTTACTGTGCAGAGTTGCGTCCCTTAGGCATGGCCGGAACCTGTTGTCATACCTAACTCGTACCTATTATGTTTCTTGGTTTGTGAGCACTTGTGACCGTGAGTTTCACCAAAGTAGTGAACGTCTGAGACACGCATCACTTTGTGCTTTCATCCTCCATCCAAGTGACACGTCGTAATATGACTGAAATAATGTCAGCCAAACTAACAAACTCACTCACCATTTTAAAATATTTTTTTCATTTCGCAGGTGGCAAATCAGAACAAACTGCCAATCAAGAGACTGCCGAACAAGAAGCATAAACAATATCTATTAGTTTTTCCAACTGCTGATGCCATTACGAAGGTACGTTCTTCCAAGTATGGTTTCCTGTTTGTTGTTTAACGCCGCATTTAGTAATTTCCCAGCAATATGACGGCGGTCGGTAAATAATCAAGTCTGGACCAGACAACCCAGTGATTGATATCATGAGCATCCATCCACACTATTGGGATACGATGACATGCATCAACCAAGTCAGCGAGCCTGACCACCCGATCCCGTTAGTCGCCTCTTACGACAAGCATAGTCGCCTTTTTTGACCAGCATGGGTTGCTGAAAACCCATTCCATCCCGGATCTTCACGGGTCTCTTCCAGGTATACGACAGATAGGCAAGACAGATCGATAACAAACTATTTCCCGAGTCTTCTAGTGGACATATGCCACATCAACAATCTGTTATTGTCTGCGTATTGGTTTAAAATATCTCTATTCAATTTCAATTACAATCACTGTCAACCTGCCTGATTTCATTAGAAATGATAGGTAGAATACATGCACTTGGAACTCTACTCTTGGATCATGGACTGATAGGGGGCACGGGTGGCCCAGTCGTCTAAGGCGTCGCGATTCGCTGTGCAGAGTTGCGTCCCTTGGGCACGCCAGACACCTATGATTGTGGGTTCGAATCCCGGTTCGCCCCGATTATGTTTCTGGGTTTGTCAGCACCATATCCGTGCTCGTTGGTTTCACCGAAGTGGTAAACGTCTGAGACCTGATACACTTCGGGTTTTCCTCCCACATTAAGCTGACACGCCGTGATATAACTGTAATACTGTTAAAAGCGGCGTTAAACCCAACTCACTCACTCACTCATGGATTGATAAACTGAATTAATGTCTTTATATTCCAGGAATAAACCCAGCCTCCGGAATGGCATCAGTATGTTATCAATTATCTGTGATATATGACGGACTTCTCAGCATTACTGGAATCAAAGAGGACTCTCTTGCTAAATGACGTCATCAGTCCCGTGCCACGCTCAAGACCATTCCATCCATTTATCTGTTCCTCAACATGATCAGGCAATAACTCTCTTCACTTTCATTTCCTGATTTCAAAACATATATGCCTCGTGTAAATAAACTGTTTTAGATTCCAAAGGTCAGCTACCTTGCATGAGAACAATATATACACGGAGACCAGCACAAAGGCTTGGTCTACTAGATAAGTGCAATGCGGCAAGCTAGGCTGGTTCTTGCAATAACGAATCACAGGCACCCGACTCCATAATAATACATGTATTCATTTTCGTACTCATATTTTCACTGTTATAAGACCAATTTGTGAAAATAAATTTACAAAATCAAAAAAATCATAAATTTTTATTTCAATTTTGTTTATATAGTGTAAATATCTTTAATAGTGTAAATGTGAGGGTTTCATAGAAAACAATATTATCAAGGAGTCAGATGCACGTTCAACAAACAGTCAACTCGGAATATATCAAAGTTTCGGCGACATTTCTCAATTACTTATTTACTTTTATTCTGTACTAACTAACAATAGCTTCAGTTGATGCCATTGCTGGTATTAAAACATATGTCGCGGCGATGTCCCATCAATCCGAATGCGATATATTTGGAGTTGACAGTTAGTTCTCTAACCTACACACGTTTTTCTATTGGTTTTTGTCCAATGGCTCAACGCTGTTCGGTTGTAGGGAATATAAAGTAGTTAGATAAATATTGTTAGTCAACTGTTGGATGTTTGTTCCTCGCATAATCTGAAATATGACATATCTAATCCGTCCATTTAGATGTGATTCTCACGACAGCGTTGAATTTTATTTCAGCCAAGAAGCATTTAAATTTACATATGCAAGTAATACGTTGCTTTAAGTTAGACAAAATTTCACTTGAAAATTATATTCGTTGTACAGTGAACCACTGAAGTCATTACTGATACAGTCACATCCCTTTAGTCAAAACCCTCGTAATGCGGAATCCCCACTTTACGGACAGTTGCCGTTTATTATTAATAGAACAGTATTACTATATACACTTTATTCGTTATTTAACTGTGTACGGCACATCCGCATTATATGGCTGCAATTATATTGTAGGTCTTTAGATGCTTCAGGGGCGATGGGGTAGCCTAGTGGTTAAAGCGTTCCTTGGTCACGCTGAAGACCCGGGTTCGATTCCCCACATGGGTACAATGTGTGAAGCCCATTTCTGGTTCCCCCGAAGTGATATGGCTTGAATAAAACCACACTCCACACTCCATCACCAGATTGCTTCAGTATTGTTTCCTTGGCAACGTGCAACATTTACACGTGATTGTTTCCAATCCTTGTATATGTATAAACGCAATGTCTTCGTGTTGCTAGGAAAGTTGATAAAATTGTTTAATGAAATATAACTAAACCTACAAGCAGCATTATTTGTGAGTCCAAACGTCTAACAGCATGCATAGTCTCAAGGTGAGGGTTTAGGTATTTCGTCTCTTAACTGAAGACTGCTGTGAAAAAATATATCTTTCGTATACTGTTTGACTATATATATACTTGTGACACATGTTAATACTAGCTACATGCTGGCGAGGACGTTTGCGTATTATTTGTATATTATCTTTATAACTCCAAAATAAAATATTGCGATCTACAAATGAGTTGTATTTATTTGCTACCATTGGACAACTGGCATATAAGCGCATTTGGCTTTAAGGTAACATCGTCAAGGAGTTCGGATTAACGCTACTGTCAAAGGTATTACAGATGTACCATGGAGTATTCAGCCACCTTGGTGACACCCACAAGTACGGGTGTGAATCCGAGTGAGTTGTTTTAACGACGCTTTGAACAGGATCTCGGTTCTATCACGGCGTGTCAGTTTGATATGGAAGGATGCGGATCCTCAGCATATTGGTGAAACCCACGAGAGTGCTGTCAACCCTGAGGAAAATAATCAGTGCGAATGCGGTACGCGAACCCGCGATAACAGGACTCGGCTGGTATATACTAGCACAACATCGACTGTTGTATACAAGCACAATATCGACTGGTGTATGGTAGCACAACATCGACTGTTGTATACTAGCACAATGTCGACTGGTGTATGGTAGCACAACATCGGCTGGTGTATACTAGCACAACATCGACTGGTAGGTGTCAGAGACACATCTCTGCATTGGGGGACCAAAGGCGACTGTGTTTGATTCTCAGAGAACAGACATTATAATATTAGGAGTCTGGGACGACCAGGGCGAACATGGCAGCGGAAGGATGGGCCAAGCTGACAATTTGAAGGATGCCCTTTGCTGAGAGGGGGCAGCGTTGTGAAGGTTGTATGACACCGAAAGCATTGTACCGATTATATCATCGTGCATGTTTTGTTCTGTATTGGAACACAGAAAGCAACGACCCTTTTAATCAGCATCGAATGATATGGAGTAGCAAGCATCGACTGCTGTATAAAAACACAGCGTCGAAAGGTGTATGGTAGCACAACATCGACTGGTGTATGGTAGCAGAACATCGACTGGTGTATGGTAGCACAACATCGACTGTTGTATACGAGCACAATATCGATTGGTGTATACTAGCACAACATCGACTGATGTATGCTAGCACAACATCGACTGTGTATAGTAGCACAACATCGGCTGGTGTATACTAGCACAATATCGATTGGTGTATACTAGCACACCATCGACTGATGTATACTAGCACAACATCGACTGGTATATACTAGCAGAACATCGACTGTTGTATACAAGCACAATATCGACTGGTGTGTGGTAGCACAACATCGGTTGGTACGTATACGTGTCAGAGACACATCTCTGCAAGCGAATTGGGGCACCAAAGATGACTGGGTGTGATTCTCAGAGAATAGACATTATAATATTAGGAGTCTGGGACGACCAGGGCGAACATGGCAGCAGAAGGATGGGCCAAGCTGACAATTTGAGTCACCTGTAAAGTTGCCCTGGATATGAACATGACTTGTTGATGTCTCCTCGCATTATGGAGTTCCTCCACCGAATCTGTCGACTTCTTGTGCGCAACATCCGATGTGATTGGCCAGCAAATCTCTTCTTTCAAGAAGGAAACATGATGTCAATACCAACCGCAAAGCCAACGTTTGGGAGGCCACTGATGAGATGGTTTACTTGAGGCATAACAACGCTGACGCAGGACCTTCTTACTCGGATTCCAGTAGCTGGTGAATGGTAACAGACAGTCTGTGCAGATATGGGACGTAAACCCGACATTTGAGTTGCAGTGAGTGAAGGACCTGAATGTTGCGATCCTGGACCTCTGTGATATGATGATGAGTTCCCTGATCTCGGATGATCTCTGATGGTGTCATGTTCCCAAAGTCGTGAAATTGTGCTCTGAGCCACGTTGAAATGCCTTGCCACTGATACTTTTGTCCACCAATATTTCTCGCATTATTTTCTTATCTTGGATTGACGATCGTAATTAATCTGAAATAATTTGCGACAACTTGTCCAAGACACAAATTCCTTGAGAAATTACATGAGAAAACATGTTTTCAGGTTCACAAAAGAACGAATCACGCAACGATCTAAAGTCATCGATATACACTTGATTAAAGACAATAAAACCGTTTTGTGTTCAGCAAAAAAAAACATGGTGCAGAACAACATGGAATACTCCCATCCACGAAATTTACTTTTACAATTTTACTACGACATACGGGGGTTTAGTTTTGAGAGTATACAAGCATCGACTGACCCATAGTAGCACAGCAACTACTGATTTACAGAAGCGGGGTGTTCTGTTTTGTCTGTACAATACACGGAGTTAACAGGCCTATTGGTATTACTAGTAACAGGTGGACCTGACACTATGCTCGGTCTACACTTTACCGCCAGCTATATAATCAGACGACCAGCTCCCACTTGCACAAAGCGATCTTAGCGCTAAGACTATCGTAAGCCTATGTTAAAGTATGGGAGTTACGGTCATCTTAGTGCTAAGATTGCTTTGTGCAGGTGGCCCCTGGTAAATGGGTAAAATGCATTGTTGCAGGATTATGATTGTGAGTGCATCAGACGTGGCAGAACAATCGTGTGTTAAGACATGGTGAATACCGTGAACAAAGCAGAATTCGAAATGCCATGTGTCTACGATCAGTAGAGGCAGCCGAATCACTTTCAGATCGACTAGACCACCCCCGTCTAGTTGATAGAGCGTCTACCGGGGAGTGGAAGGTCGGTGGTTTCACCAACCAAAAGATGTTAAAAGGTAGGACTCGTTATTAACCTGACTGGCGCTCGCCATGATGGGAACAAAACAAGGACTGGTCAGCTCGGTGTGTGGTAGCCATGGTGGTATCTCGGTGGGCACCATGAAACCGATATCAGTGCAGCCTGGTTCCCTACTGGGTATGCTGCGCTGGCGATACACTGATCAGTGTAGCGCCAGCGCAGCATACCCAGGGAACCAGGCTGATATCAGTGAAGACTAGTACAAGCAGTCACACACAGATACAAACACATAGGCGCAGACACTACCATGCGCGCAGATGCACGTCGCTATAGAAGTGCAATGTTTTAAATTAATACCCATTTCGGCTCACCTCCAGGTTGACTAACCAGTACTTATGACATAAGAATAGTGCGTGGGGCGTGTGAGTGTACTGTTGCCCGGGACTCTAACATATCATCGTCTAAATGCATATCGAAGTGGACGGTCTCCAGGTGGCGTCATTACTCCGTGACATCAACATCAACAGACGTTCTTGGCAACCAGGCACAGGACTCACCATGTTATCAAAGAGTGGCCACACAAAGGATTATATCACCAGGCAATGGACGTCACTCTATCTTCCTCCACGGAACACTACCCACGTCCTGACACGTGTCATGAATATATATGTGTGAATGTGTGTGTTTGTGTGGATGTGTGAGTGTATGTGTGTGTGTGTGTGCGAGAGAGAGAGAGAAAGAGGGAGGGAGAAATAGAGAGAGGGAGAGACACAGAAAGAGAGAGAGACAGAGAGTGAGTGAGTATAGTTTTACGCCGCTTTTAGCAATATTCCAGTAATATCACGGCGGGGACATCAGAAATCGGCTTCTTACTTTGCACCCGCGTCACTAGGCTCACGAGAGAGAGAGAGAGAGAGAGAGAGAGAGAGAGAGAGAGAGAGAGAGAGAGAGAGAGAGAGAGAGAGAGCGTTCCTGACACCATGTCTCGTTTCTTAAATATCCATCGTGATATAGAGGTCTACACACACAGACATATCCCATACATTAAAAAAAAGTATTTTCATCAAAAACATTTTTATTTCCTCCAGCAGCAAGTTACATTGGCAGCTACACTGGTATTGTACACACCACAATGGGAATCTGGATAAAATAATCCATCGTTCTATTGAAGCGGAACAGAGATCCCCGCTCCATTCTCTTTCTTGTGAACGAGTGACAGATCTTACAGGAACGCTAACTTGTCAGGTTGTCATGACTACACCCCATCGGACCTGGGCTGGGCACACTTTTGCGTCGGTTGAGTGCATGGGAGACATCAATCATAACGTTTATGACCCAGTTTGTTGTTTAACGCCGCACTCAGCAATATTCCACCTATATGACGTCGGTCTGTAAATAGTCGAGCCTGGACCAGACAATCCAGTGATTGACGTGATGAACATCGATCCACGCATTTGGGATACGATGATATGCATCAACCAAGTCAGCGAGCCTGACCACCCGATCACGTTAGTCGCCTCTTACGACAAGCATAGTCGCCTCTTCCGACATTATGACCCAGTACTATACTCTACAATGTATATGTTGTCTTACTCCCAGTGACCTGGGTCTTACCGCTATGAGTCTGACTATCCTTAAAACATGTCAACAGCAGTGAAACAAAGGTAATTTTGTATACGAGCGTATTTGCATTTTGCGGTTAGATTAGTTGTTTAAGTTGCAACGGCTCTAAGATATATACCGGCCGCTTCACTCAGTTAGAACCTGAACTATTTAGTCGTCCTGTGTCGTTTACAAATCAATAATAGTACCAAACAGAGTGAGTGAGTGAGTTGGGTTTAACGCCGCTTTTAACAGTATTCCGGTTATATCACGGCGTGTCAGCTTATTGTGGGAAGAAAGCCCGAAGTAATGCAGGTCTCTGACGTTTACCACTTCGGTGAAACCCACGTGCACGGGTATGGTGCTGACAAACCTAGAAACATAATCGGGGCGAACCGGGATTCGAACCCACAATCATAGGTTTCTGGCGCGCCCAAGGGACGCATCTCTGCACAGCAAATCGAGGCGCCTTACCAAACAGAAGTGACAAATGTCAGACAAATTGCCTGTATTATAATGGAGAAAACGTTCCATGATTCTCGCTTCCTCTGCTGATCAGCGACCGAGTCAAGGCGTGGACATCCCAATTGGCTTCATTGCCGCCATTCATGTCCCACAACCTAAAGTGGTAATAAATCAATATTGTCGGACGGAATAGTCTGGATATCATTTATATCCCGGTAGCTGGCCTGGATGTGCAACACTCGACCTACTTATCACTGTCCAGTGTGTCTAACGATCAAAATGTATATGAGAGTGAAAAGCAACTTTATTCCTTCTGAAGCTAGTTTCGTTGTTAAAATTAATTCCTGTACTGTAGTGATCACATTTTAAGTAGGTATAGGGGTTAGGTCTGTAAAGTGTCAGCTAACCACTATGACATGTAGAATGAGTGAGTGAGTGAGTTGGGTTTAACACCGCTTTTAACAGTATTCCAGTTATCTCGCGGCGTGTCAGCTTAATGTGGGAGGAAAGCCCGAAGTGATGCAGGTCTCAGATGTTTACCACTTCGGTGAAACCCATGAGAACGGGTATGGTGCTGACAAATCTAGAAACATAATCGGGGCGAACCGGGATTCGAACCCACAATCATGGGTTTCTGGCGTGCCCAAGGGCCGCAACTCTGCACAGCGAATCCCGGCGCCTTAGACGACTGGGCCACCTGTGCCCCCTTGACATGTAGAATGTACACTTACCATAGTAACAATTGTATACTTCAGCATCAAGGATACCTCAGAAGCACACTGATGAACTTCAGCATCAAGGATACCTCAGAACCACACTGATGAACTTCAGCATCAAGGATACCTCATGGCCACACTGATGAACTTCAGCATCAAGTTTTGTTTGTTTGTTTAGTTTGTTTGTTGGTTGTTTAACGCCAAACTCAGCAATATTCCAGCTATATGATGGTGGTCTTTAAATAATCGAGTCTGAAGAAGACAATCCACTGATTGACATCATGAGTATCGATTTATGCAACTGGGATACAACGACATGCATTAACAGCAACCCATGCTTGCCGGAAGAGATGTCATCGCATCCCTATTGCGTGGATCAATGCTCATGATGTCAATCATTGAATTGTCTGGTCCAGACTTGAATATTTACAAACCGCCGTCATATAGCTGGAATATTGTGGGGTGCGACGTTAAACACAAAAACAACAAACAAACAAAACATGCATTAACCAAGTCAGCGAGCCTGATGATCAAACTTCAGCATCAGTGTACATCTGTACCACACAGATGTATTTCAGCATCAATGTACAACAGTACTACATTGATGTACTTCAGCATCAAGGATACCTCAGTACCCTACTTATATACTTCAGCATCAGTGTACATCTGTACCACACAGATGTATTTCAGCATCAATGTACACCAGTACTACACTGATGAACTTCAGCATCAAGGATACCTCAGTACCACACTGATGAACTTCAGCTAAAGGATACCCCAGTACTACACTGATGTACTTCAGCATCAAGGATACCTCAGAAGCACACTGATGAACTTCAGCATCAAGGATACCTCATGGCCACACTGATGAACTTCAGCATCAAGGATACCTCAGAAGCACACTGATGAACTTCAGCATCAAGGATACCTCATGGCCACACTGATGAACTTCAGCATCAAGGATACCTCAGAAGCACACTGATGAACTTCTGCATCAAGGATACCTCATGGCCACACTGATGAACTTCAGCATCAAGGATACCTCAGTACCACACTGATGAACTTCAGCATCAAGGATACCTCATGACCACACTGATGTACTTCAGCTTCAAGGATACCTCAGTACCCTACTTATATACTTCAGCATCAATGTACCTCAGGATCACACAGATGAACTTCAGCATCAATGTACCTCAGGACCACACAGATGAACTTCAGCATCAAGGACACCTCAGTACCCTCTCCAGAATCTCTACAGGGCCTATACAGGGAATCATTACATTATGCAACAAACAACAACGACATGCTTAAGTAAATCTGATTATTGTGCAACCTCCACCTAGTAAACAATAGCTGCCAGCACTGATTATTGAGATAAGATCCCATGGAGTATTCTTAAACATTGCCACCGGCCTCCGAATTAATACTGATTGTATCGAATTCCTTTCCATTATAATATGACACAAAGAAAATCTTTTCATAAAAAATACCGATTGAAAATAATTTCCATAAAAACAAGAACCCCCAAAATAATGTAAGTAGTCTAACACACAAATCATAACAACTAATACTGGCCTTCAACAAACAAATCATTGACTAGTAATTTTGGCCTTCCACAAACTCCAAGAACTGATCAAACTTCAGCGAGGAGCATAAACCCTAAATTCAGGTTTGGATTTATATTACTTGCCCGTGAAGAGATCACCTGTTTAATAAACATACAGCTGTATTACACATTGTGCAATACCAAAACGCGTGCTTATGTACTCTCGGAACACGTTTCACGAACAAATATTGAAAGCTCTCAACATCCCTTGGCTTATTCAACGACATTGCTTGTGGAGTTGATAGATCACTGAGAGGAGCTTATGCAGACTCGATGACCCCACAACTATTCACTCGTTTCATAAAATTGGTATTACACGGGAGCTCGTTTAGTATTCAATTTATATTACATGAATAATAAGGACATTTCAGTGTGCATAGTACATGATGGACAAAACTTCTGCTGCATACACAAGAACCCCACTGCTCTGGGACAGGCATACATCTGAATGTTTAACAATGCTGAAACTTCTTTTCTGGGAAAGTATCTTTACAACCTCCAATACAACAATAATGTCCAGAATCACAACACACATTTCAAATTAAATACCTCTAAAAATATAAATCTATCAAACAGGATTCATAACAATGTGAAAGTGTTCATACGTCTTTTAAACAAACCACCAGTAAAATAGTCATTCAAAACTTGCCACCATATTGACACTGGAAACTAGTACTTGACAGTTGAACCTCATTGTGGAAAAGATCATCCTACATGTACTTGAGCCATCTCGTAGTGAATGTCAGATCTTACACTTCATTAGTTAACGGTCTTGTGACAAGTTGGGATTTCAGCAAGCCCGAGCATACCAAATAGAATAAAATTTGTTAACGGTGATATGGTATATCATGGAGTTGTCAAATAAAAGTTGGAAGGAAACCCTGGGTGGAACAAATCAGAGTCAGTTAGCACCGTTGGGACACCCACAAGTATGGGAGGACGTTCAGTAAGATATGCTGGCTATTTGGCTAATACTGCATACATTCAAGCAAAATCTCTTCAGTCTTATTGAGCACGGGTAGCGTAATATACTCTGGTATTAATCCATTAGTGTTTGTTGTTGGTCTCTGCAATATTCAAGCTATACAAAAGCTGCCTCTAAAACCCAAGTCTGTACCAAATCAATGAGCCACTCCAATCAAGTATAGGTCATTTGGGACCGAACTAACCTAAATTCTGGTCCCCACAGGTATTGATGAATTAAATTCAAACATTAATTATAACCAAATGAGTAGAGTTAACAAACATGGGATCACGGATTTATATTATAATGCCGTATTATGGAATTTGTATTAACAGAGCTCCAGATAAGCTTTTGGTGTTGTGGGTATTTTACCCATGCATTTTAAAATCATTGGGTATCAGTAATTCTATCTGGATATTCAAATTTCTGTTACCCACTAGTTTTTACACATGTGGGTACTTAAGTTAAATATTTAAAAACACTATTCATCTAGTCCCTGCAAACTGGTGTCGTGTGGGTTTGAGAGCTTTATAGGACTCAAAAATACCACGATACTTCCACAAGAAAGTGTGATGGCAAATGATCATGATGTAACTGTCATCGTGGAGTTTGGCAAGGTTGACGGAATGCCCGTTTATAATTTCAAAATAAGTTGCTGATTTGCTAATCGAATACGCAGGGTTACTTCACAATATTTTGATGATACACACAAGGTTTATTTTTGTAGCATATCTGTAATGTTCGTTGTGTATTTGAAATGCTTGGACTTTATTTTACTGCATATTTCTGATGCGTATTTTACGCAGATACGCAGCTTATCTGCAGCTCTGTATTATAATGTCGTATTATGGAATTTGTATTTAGTCTTCTTTCTTGTGACCAGACAGATGACCAGACAGATGACCACAGATGACCACATGACTGTGAGTGGAGACTATTGGCTGGTAGGTTGGTCAGGATGACAGTCACAGTCTGGCACTGGAGCCTAGTCACTGAGCATCCACAATGTTGCCCACAACGGCGATGGCCTCGATCTCAACCAGTGCACCCTGCAACACAAGTCAGAATGTGGGTCATTCTCAACATTAACAATGTGGGTGTTCTTCAACTTCATGCAGAGCTTATAAATAAAGAAGATGAACCTTGAGATCAGTTTCCTGAAATAATGCTGTTAGTCACCTGGGTACAATGGCATCATCCAGGCTGTACATTGTTAAGGGTCCTCCACTCACAGGACAAGGGGACCCGTGAAGATCCGGAGTAGAATAGGTCTTCAGCAACCCACACTTGCCGTAAAAAGCAACACTGCTTGTCGTAAGAGGCAACTAGCGGGATCAGGTGGTCAGGCTCGCTGACTTGGTTGATGCATGTCATCATATCCCAAGTGCATGGATCGATGCTCATGATTTTGATAACTCGATTGTCTGGTCCAGACTCGATTATTTACAGACCGCCGTCATATAGCTGGAATATTGCTGACTGCGGCATTAAACAACAAACAAACAAACAAACACATCACGGGACAAGGGCCATGCTAAAGGTGAAAATGGTTACTGTCAAACCCATTGTAAAGTGACCTACATATGCATATCTACCCAAAGTACCTTGTATATCATGGTGACATCTTGATAAGTGTTCGAGGTCAATTCCTATTAATGGGACCTCCCAGTTACTGGCTATGGCTACATTTCTTTCAATATGTGTCTCCTTTCATTACCTCTATACCCTGGATTATTTAGTCATATTTGTATAAGAGTGAGTGAGCATGATTTTATGGCGCTTTTAGCAATATTTCATCAATATATGGCAGGGAACTCCAGAAATGGGCTTCATGTCGGGATTTGAACCTGGGTCTTTAGCGTAATGAGCGAACGCTTTAACCACTAAGCTACCCGACCGCCCCTCCATTGAAGACATAACCCTCCCAGATGAGGTTGGTTGGTTGGTTGGTTTGTTGTTTAACGCCGCGCTCGGCAATATTCCAGCTATATGACGGCGGTCTGTAAATAATCGAGTCTGGACAAGACAATCCTGTGATTAATGTCATGAGCATCGATCCACACAATTGGGATCGTTGACATGCATCAACCAAGTCAGCGAACCTAACCACCCGATCCCGTTAGCCGACTTTCACGACAAGCATAGTCACCTTTTACAGCAAGCATGGGTTGCCTGTTCCACCCCGGAATCTTCACGGGTTTCCCAGATGAGGATAAAGTGAATGAGATAAAGAAATTCCAGAACATACCCTGGGTAAAGCAGCTACTTGGAAGGCAGCCCTTGCCGGTTTGTTGTTGGAAAAGTCTGCAATAGGATTGATAAAGAAATCTAAGTTAAAAAATAAAAATGAAATTGATCACCAAAAAAACTAAACTAAACAAATTGACAGATGACAACTATCATTTAAGGGTTTTACAATTAGGTTTTGTTTATTTATTTGTTTGTTGTTTAATGCCGCACTCAGCAATATTCCAGCTGTATGACAGTGGTCTGTAAATACAAGTCTGGACCAGACAATCCAGTGATTGACATCCATCTACATAATTGGGATACGTTGACATGCATGAGTGAGTGAGTGAGTATGGTTTTACGCCGCTTTTAGCAATATTCCAGCAATATCACGTGGGGGGACACCACAAATGGGCTTCACACATTGTACCCATGTCGGGAATCGAACCCGGGTCTTCGGCATGACGAGCAAACGCTTTAACCACTAGGCTACCTGACCGCCCCTTGACATGCATAAAACAAGTCAGCAAGCCTGACCAACCGATTATGACAAGCATGGGCTAGCTGTAGACCTATTCTCACCCGGATATTTACTGGTAATTTTGTGGTGTGTCCTACAGCATGTAGACATATCATGGAGAGATAATCTAACACACGTATGAGCGGCAATTCGGTAAAAAAATACAAAGTTGAAATGAAGGACCAAAGTACGCAATAATAGTCAGATGTTATGAATATAGAATGAATGTTACAAATAAAGGTCATTATTTACATACGAATAATGAATTCAAAATACAAAACAGTACCAATGAACAACTTGCATACAAAAGACGTCATATGTAAAGAAAGAACAATGTGTACTGAAGAACATCAGTGCACAAACAGGACACTAAACTGCTACAGGAGAACGTTGAAAACACAGCAATTTGTAAAACATTCCGAGTTTAATCGGCTTGTCCTTTATTTCAACTTTGTAGGTTTTGACCGAATGGCCGCCCATACACATGGTCACACTGAACACCCCTTTCACTCATTTTCAGAATTCCCAAAACGTCAGGATCACAGGAAGATGATGTTTTATTGGACTTACATTTTGCATAGACTTCATTGACAGCAGCATAGTCGTTGATATCCTTCAGGAGGACTGTTGTCTTCACCACTGTAACAGCAACAATATGAATTTACCCTTTTGTCTCCGCAACAATTTGAATTTACCCTATTGTCACAGCAACAATTTGAATTAAATCTATTGTCACAGCAACAATTTGAATTATTCCTATTGTCACAGCAACAATTTGAATTAACCCTATTGTCTCAGCAACGATTTGAATTAACCCTACAGTCACAGCAACAATTTGAATTAACCCTATTGTCTCAGCGACAATTTGAATTAATCCTATTGTCTCAGCAACAATTTGAATTAACCCTACTGTCACAGCAACGATTTGAATTAACCCTATTGTCTCAGCAACAATTAGAATTAACCCTATTGTCACAGCAACAATTTGAATTAACCCTATTGTCACAGCAACAATTAGAATTAACCCTACTGTCACAGCAACAATTTGAATTAACTCTATTGTCACAGCAACGATTTGAATAAACCCTACTGTCACAGCAACAATTTGAATTAACCCTATGGTCTCAGCAACAATTTGAAATAACCCTATTGTCTCAGCAACAATTTGAAATAACCTTACTGTCACAGCAACAATTTGAATTAACCCTACAGTCACAGAAACAATTTGAATTAACCCTACTGTCTCAGCAACAATTTGAATTAACCCCATTTTCACAGCAACAATTAGAATTAACTATATTGTCACAGCAACGATTTGAATTAACCCTACTGTCACAGCAACAATTTGAATTAACTCTATTGTCTTAGCAACAATTTGAATTAATCCTATTGTCACAGCAACAATTTGAATTAACCCTACTGTCACAGCAACAATTTGAATTAACCCTACAGTCACAGCAACAATTTGAATTAACCCTACTGTCTCAGCAACAAATTGAATTAACCCTACTGTCACAGTAACAATTTGAATTAACCCTACTGTCACAGCAACAATATTAATTAACCCCACTGTCACAGCAACAATATTAATTAACCCTACTGTCTCTGCAACTATCTGAATTAACCCCACTGTCACAGCAACAATTTGAATTAACCCTATTGTCACAGCAACAATTTGAATTAACCCTACTGTCACAGCAACAATTTGAATTAACCCTACTGTCACAGCAACAATTTGAATTAACCCTATTGTCTCAGCAACAATTTGAAATAACCCTACTGTCACAGCAACAATTTGAATTAACCCTATTGTCTCAGCAACAATTTGAATATTAACTCTACAGTCACAGAAACCATCGGCATTAAGCCTTCTATCATAAGCATCACAGACAACAACACTCAATACAATCCACAAACACCACATCTGACAGAGAGAATATCACTCGCCCATCATCAGTGGTTCCCAAGCACAGATTACAAGTCTGGATTGTAACATCTGACTTTGTTTGGCATGTAGCATCACATTCACACCACCATATTCTGATAACTAATACATGTCAACTGTTGGCCCTACCAGGTGATGTTTGATGTGTAATTCCTAACCTTCATATTGATCTTAAGTGACCCTAAAGGACATTTGATTAAGGACAAACACTGCTATAGGGCGTGGCGGTATAGCGTAGTGCCTAAAGTTTTTGCTCGTCAATGGTGAAGACCCAGGTTCTATTCCCAAAATGGGAACAAGCATACTTTAACACACAAGACAAACAAGACTTAGTCAGACTGACTTCAACATATGAAGTGAGTGAGTGAGTGAGTGAGTGAGTGAGTGAGTGAGTGAGTGAGTGAGTGAGTGAGTGAGTGAGTGAGTGAGTGAGTGAGTGAGTGAGTGAGTGGTATTACACCGCGTTTAGCAATATTCCAGCAATATCATGGCAGGGAACTCCAGAAATGGGCTTCACACATTGTACCCATGTCGGGAATCGAACCTGGGTCTTCGGCGTGACGAGTGAACGCTTTAATCACTAGGCTACCCAACCGCCCCTCAAAATGAAAAGCTATACACAAGACTAACACATAGCCCCCTGAAATAAAGGCATAGAAATAAATAGAAATATTACCATGGCACTGTAGCTCACCTGGATATGTAGTCACCCGTTTAAAATGTTAACACAACAACCACTTCACGAAAGTAACTGTCAACGTCACTATTCAAAAACTTTCTGCATAAATAACTGAGACTAAAAGTATTAACATATATGAATAAAGTAACAAAATCTCCCAATGTTTCTAAAGCTGCAAGAAAGAATTTACTATTTGAGAACTGTTGTGCTACTCTGGGCTCCCCGTGTCCCCGGTGTAAGTAAGAGCCCTGGACTCACCATTGTTGTAGCTGGAACCGCCCTCCTCCAATATGGCACCCATGTTCTTCAGGGCCTTCATAACAAATTGTAAAACTACATTAAATAACGTCATTCAAATCTTTAACATACAATTGTAATGCCCCTCGTAAGAATCTTTAAACTTCATTGATAACTTCATTTATATCACGGGAAAACAAGTACCGGTATATATCAATGCTGACCTGACAAGAGAAAATGGACCTGAAAAGGTTTGGCCAAATCACATGACTGCATCGACATCAAATATTGACTCATCAAATCACATGACTAGGTCTGCCAGAAAACAACATGCCATGCGAATACAGGTTTTGTACTACTGTCTTGCGAAGATCTAATTCAAATGCTCGATACAAGGGACGAAAAGGTGAAAAGAAGTACTTTATAAATGAATTTCAGTGCAATAAAATAAATTATGACTTTTGGCGAGGCCATTATGCAAAAGCAAGGACTCTCGTATCCAAAACTCAGTGATTTGATCGGAACTCTGCCTGCGGTCACAGCCCGGTGAGACGTCAGACATCTGATCTCAGGCACGTAATATTCACATTAGTTCTATCTGAGAAAAATGTTTCAGTCATACCTCTCATCAGTGAGGGGGAAATGGGGGGAATCTAAAACTAGCAACAGGACCATTATTTTCCAATACTGCTAATTTCCTGGTTTTAGTAACATGATGTCAAAGTCTAAAATAACCTAAAATAACCTTCAGTATATCTACATCCTCAGAACTAAAAGGTGTTCCTATGTACACTACACTGCTTCATCGGTAATGGCTAGTGCATGCTACTGGGTTTGTGTAGATAGGCTACTGGGGTTGTGTAGACAGGCTACTGGGTTTGTGTAGATAGGCTACTGGGGTTGTGTAGACTAGCTACTGGGGTTGTGTAGACAGGCTACTGGGTTTGTGTAGACAAGCTACTGGGCTTGTGTAGACAGGCTACTGGGCTTGTGTAGATAGGCTACTGGGTTTGTGTAGATAGGCTACTGGGGTTGTGTAGACTGGCTACTGGGTTTGTGTAGATAGGCTACTGGGGTTGTGTAGACTGGCTACTGGGTTTGTGTAGACAGGCTACTGGGTTTGTGTAGACAGGCTACTGGGTTTGTGTAGACAGGCTACTGGGGTTGTGTAGATAGGCTACTGGGGTTGTGTAGACTGGCTACTGGGTTTGTGTAGACAGGCTACTGGGTTTGTGTAGACAGGCTACTGGGCTTGTGTAGACAGGCTACTGGGCTTGTGTAGACAGGCTACTGGGCTTGTGTAGACTGGCTACTGGGTTTGTGTAGACAGGCTACTGGGCTTGTGTAGATAGGCTACTGGGGTTGTGTAGAATGGCAACTGGGTTTGTGTAGACAGGCTACTTGGGTTGTGTATACAGGCTACTGGGCTTGTGCAGATAGGCTACTGGGGTTGTGTAGAATGGCAACTGGGTTTGTGTAGACAGGCTACTGGGGTTGTGTAGATAGGCTACTGTAGACAGGGTACTTGGGTTGTGTAGACAGCCTACTGGGGTTGTGTAGACAGGCTACAGGGGTTGTATAGACAGGCTAGTGCAGGCAACTAGGGTCATGTATACAGCCTACTGGGGTTGTGTAGACAGGCTACAGGGGTTGTATAGACAGGCTAGTGCAGGCAACTAGGGTCATGTATACAGCCTACTGGGGTTGTGTAGACAGGCTACAGGGGTTGTATAGACAGGCTAGTGCAGGCAACTAGGGTCATGTATACAGCCTACTGGGGTTGTGTAGACAGGCTACTGGGGTTGTATAGACAGGCTAGTGCAGGCAACTAGGGTCATGTATACAGCCTACTGGGGTTGTGTAGACAGGCTAGTGCAGGCTACTAGAGTCATGTATACAGCCTACTGGGGTTGTGTAGACAGGCTAGTGCAGGCTACTAGTCATGTATACAGCCTACTGGGGTTGTGTAGACAGGCTACTGGGGTTGTATAGACAGGCTAGTGCAGGCAACTAGGGTCATGTATACAGCCTACTGGGGTTGTGTAGACAGGCTACAGGGGTTGTATAGACAGGCTAGTGCAGGCAACTAGGGTCATGTATACAGCCTACTGGGGTTGTGTAGACAGGCTACAGGGGTTGTATAGACAGGCTAGTGCAGGCAACTATGGTCATGTATACAGCCTACTGGGGTTGTGTAGACAGGCTAGTGCAGGCTACTAGAGTCATGAATACAGCCTACTGGGGTTGTGTAGACAGGCTAGTGCAGGCTACTAGAGTCATGAATACAGCCTACTGGGGTTGTATATACAGACTAGTGCAGGCTACTAGTCATGAATACTGCCTATTGGGGTTGTGTAGACAGGCTACAGGGGTTTTATATACAGGCTAGTGCAGGCTACTAGGGTCACAAGGGTCAGGGGTCAAGGGTCTACTGACCTGGTCAGTCTCTGCTGCTGCTCCCCCAGTCACTATCTCCATTGTCGTGGGCACAAACCCAATCTGACCCGAGATGTACATCGTTTTATCTGCTATCACCGCCTGACTGGAATTATATTTCAAAACTAAGTTGTAAGCATACATCCAAATATTTCTTGGTAATCATGTTAAATACTGATGTCTAAAGCTTCCATCTTCTTGCAAAATTATGCAAAACAAGATGATTTTGAACTATTAAAGATTCTTCCTCCTCGCTAGTCTACAACATATTAATGACTTATTCCTGTCTCACAGCAGTTACGACACATGCATACACATGAATGCAATGAAAAATAGGTTCAATACGTAAATAAAGAATAATGATGGATGTTTGTATGTATGTAAGTATATACGATATATTTTATAAAATACACTTCAACCATATACTTTTAACATTATCTATGCCTCCTGTTCTTATCATGCAGGGATGTCAAGTTGACTCCATCAGAAATCATCATTAATCCTGCAATCTGGCAACTATAGCCAAACTGACTGAAATGCCACCACATACATTCACAGCAGGTCGACATGAAAATGCACTGAAACATATCTCTTTTGACTGATTGTTGGACTTGAGTGAATGAACCATTAGAGTAATATTGTGGCAATGAAAGTTTCTATCTCTCATCATTTATGTATTAAATGATTGGTTGGTTGGTTTGTTGTTTAACGCCGCACTCAGCAATATTCCAGCTATGTGACGGTGGTCTGTAAATAATCGAGTCTGGACCAGACAATCCAGTGATTGATATCATGAGCATCGATCCACGCAATTGGGATCGATGACATGCATCAACCAAGTCAGTGAGCCTGACCACCCGATCCCCTTAGTCGCCTTTTACGGCAAGCACAGTCACCTATTACGGAAAGCATGGGTTGCTGAAGACCTATTCTACCTCAGAATCTTCACGGGTCTGTATTAAATGAATCTGACGAATCTTTATTGCAATCATAAGTATGACTAGTAGCAACATTCATGCCAAGCTGCAGTTCATGCGCTCAGCATGCATCTTCAGAAGTGAAAATGTTTGTAAACTTATACGTGTATAACTAATAATCGCTAAAATTGTAGATATAGCATATATGGTACTTCATTGTGTAAAACATAATCAGTTATTTCTATCTGTTTGTTCATATATATCATATGATTTATACAAAATAGCAAGCACCTTAAAAATAATTCTGTGAAATACATTTTAGAAATAATTATTTCCAAAATGCATTTCACTGAATTATTTTTTTACATGTTTTAAACAGATTATTACAGAGTATTATGTTGTAATAAAATCTTTCAGAAACACATATTTTTTCCAATACTCATCTTTTAAAAAATGATGGGTGATATTATATTAATCAACTAAAAGATAACAAGGACATATATCTACATTATGATCTCTTTGTGAGAGGGAATGAGAGTGGAGGTGGATAAGAATATCGCTACATGTGCTGTGCCATACTTCACACAGTTCTAAGTATATATAACGTGAATGGAGATATTGGCTCCTCATTCACATAAGTAATACAAAAATGTGATGCAAATTGAAATACTGCCACTTGTGGTATGCCAACGTGTATATATTTAGAGTTACTGGCCCTGGCAAAAAAGGGTTTGCAAATATATGTGTTTGAAATAGTCTGCTTGTATTGTGATGACATTACAAATAATTGCGTCTTAATTTACCTGTAAGGTCCAATTGCTTTAGGTGCAGCCGTCGCCTGGACCAATTTCCGTACAATGCCTGCCATTTTCAAAGAATAGTTAGAACGCAAAGTGCTTGTCCCTGACTCGTCCTGTAGATGGCAGTGTAAAATAAACGAGCTCCGAGCAGTGACACTGTCGAGCTAGTTTCAGGATCAGTCTGCGCAACTTCCACAAATTATTCATAGAGACGGAGCTCAGTCCACGGGTGTAACATAGGTACCACGCACTGTGTTAGAGCTGAAGTGAAGGCATGCTTTCAGGTAAAACGAATATTTCATACATTTCAGCCGTCAACGTATGACACAAAAAATAATGCGCACTGTCGAGGTCGTCCATGTCAACCAAGAGTAGTTGATAGGCCGTGTGTACTGTCGTGATAAACTCGTATGCCTCGTCATAAAATTCGTTTGAAGACGCACAACGAATAACGGCACTTGACTTACGCCAGTAACGGCAACACGGACACAGTAATAGATTATTATAAGACAAGGACACACTTTATGTTGGTAAGAGTTAGGTAGCAATCTTTATATAAGCAATTATAGTTATTGCCAATATTGACCGCGAGTTGATATCGACACCTTAGCCTTTCGCTCAAGCCAGGGCGACATATATTATGGTAAGCGGCAGTAAAATCTCTTCAGAGAACCATAAATTTCAGTTGGTTTCTTGATGAATTTCGTCATGTTAGTAGGAACGTAATATTGAAAATGCATAGTTGAATATCAATTTCTCAAAATAACCTTTCAGAAATATCAATTACTATTCAAATAACCAGATTTTGCTCTTTGCGATAGGTATATGATGATGGAATATATAGGTCTATTTTGATCTATCGAGCAAAGACAAATTAATAAGATTTTGATCAAATTTAGTTACCTTATCATCCATGAAATAAAAACATCTCAACATGATTTCACTACAAGATATGTTTATAAAACTCCATGTACAACAATCTGATTACATTGTATGTCTTTTCATTGTCAGTCCATGTTGAAGAAATTAACATTGTCTCTTATTGTGTCCAACATAGAATTGTTATTAGAACCTACCCCAACAAGCATTATTTCCCTCAGTTGTTTCAGGTCTTACTACCCTCTCAATATGTTAGAATTTACTGAATGTACATCGTTGTTACGTTAACTGATAATAATTTCATTCCAGGTATTTGTTGATAAACGTTTAAGCTCTCTTACCTAACTGGAAGCTAGTGTTTATGGATTCCAACCGACATGTCTCAAAGCGAAGTGACTGGTAGTGGGACTCGCAAAAGGAAACGCTCAATCTCCAGTGATTTGAGTGGAAAAGTGAAAAGAGAATCTGAGAATAAGAGCAACCATGACATTCTCAGCCATGCTCCCGCAAGTAGGTTCAGTCATTTTCAACATATAGCCTACAACTGGATTGTAGCAATGATTGTTGTGTCATGATAGCCGAATTCTGCATGTATCCATGTTTTATTTAATTCAAGTGTTATTGTTATTGTGTATTTAAAGTGTTGACCAAAGGATTTAACTTTCCTTTACATTTTGAACAAGTAATGTTGATATTAGTGAAATAGACTGTGGAAGTACCTTGTCAGTGATTATATCATTACAAGAATGAAGAATGTATGACCATCAAAATGTGTCATTCACGATGTTATGAACATCGGCTTCGTGGCAGTGTGGCCGTTTACTTGTCCAGTAGAAAAGCTGTATATCATGTAAACTGTGTATTGATATATATTAGTATGTACATATAGTATATAGTTGTATGGTTTGACACATAAGCACTGACATGCTAACTTGTCTCATCTCTTGCTGTGTTGACAGGTGTGAAGATTGTAGACCTTGTCGAAAATAGAGCAACAGAAATCATTGCATTGACAAATCATGTTGATAAGATTGGAGGGACGAAGCTTGTGTCGCAGCGCCTACCTCGCCACATGCGGCGCCGTGCACTCAGTCACAACATACAGAGGCTGCCCAGAAGACTGAGGGAGGTGGCCGCTAAAGAGGTCTTCATTTAACAGTTACATTCTATGGGGTACCAGTTTGAGGACAATAAGGGGCAATATGATTCTAATAATAAGAATAATAATGTGCATATTTATGATGTGTTAAATCCACACACTAAAGCTTATCAAAGCATTACATTATTACCCAGACAATGGATCAGTGTGCACTTGAATTTCATTCTCAGCTTCCTGGGGAACATACAATCCAAGCTGCCTTATGAGGCACCAGAAGGTTAACTGTCACATTACCCATCCACCTCCTCTCTGCCACCAACTTTGCTCTGTGCACTGTACACAGAATCACATAGCTAATAAGTCATTAGGCTGTCCAGCGCTAACAGTTCCAATTCTTTCAGCTATGCTAACCTATACCAGTGTAGGGGGCACTGGTGGTCAAGTCTAAGGTCTCGCTGTGCAGAGTTGCATACCTTGGGCACGCCAGAAACCTGTGATTGTGGGTTCGAATCCCGGATCGCCCTGATTATGTTTCTAGGTTTGTCAGCACCATACCCGTGCTTGTGGGTTTCACTGAAGTGGTAAACGTCTGAGACCTGCATCACTTCGGGCTTTCCTCCCACATTAAGCTGACACGCTGCAATATAAGGGAATACTGTTAAAAGCGGCGTTTAAAACCCAACTCACTCACTCACTCACTCACACACTGTACCAGTGTATAATCAGTAGAGGACGTAACGTGTACGCGAGACGGCTCTCCCGTCTCGCGTACAAGTGACCCCCTGAGAGGGGTCACGCGTATGCGTGACGGTCTGTCAGTGGACCATGGATTTCTGCCTGTTGCACAAAAATGTCTCTACAAGCGTTATTTGTGAAAATAATAAAACAAAATTAAGTACAGTTATTGATTATCCTACTAGTTATCGAATGACATGAAAAAAATGTCATAAGAAAAATAATAAACGGTCAAATTGGGAGAAAAATGTGTAAAAATCGAGCAAAATGTTCTGTTTTTGACAGCGATTTTCTCCTATGTACATATTTTTCAGAAACTAACACGTAGTATTTTCTAAAAGCTCATTCATCGTAGAGTTACAAAATATATAAATTATTTCACGCACACCAACGCACACCCATTTTCCATCGCGTTGAAACATGTTTACTTTCTTCGAAACTGCGCGAACCGTCTCGCGTACAAGTGACTGGTCGACAAGCCGATAAAGGGAGGTAACCTATGCCTGACTAAAATGTTCAATCGGAACATCCGTCTTGTTACACTAAATGTGTCTGAATCAGAATGATGCGTGTAATATGCACGATATTTATTTAGCGCGTAGTTTCGTGGTTAGAACAAGGAGGAAATGTATTTTGATCACGTATTAGAAAAACAATTTTGCAGTGGGTAATATATTTTTAGGTGGAAGTAAAATTGTTGGAAAACAAAGTATTTCTGTGAAAAAATGAGTAATGCACATAACATATTGAAATTAAAAGAGTCAAATTTGCCGATTTTGGACAGCGATTTTCATCTATGTGCATATTTTTCAGAAACATAATTTCAGTATTTTCTTAAAGCTTATTCGTCGTAGTATAACAACATATATCAATTATTTCACGCACACCAACGCACACCTATGTGCCAGCGCGTTGAAACATATCTACTTTCCTCAAACTGCTCGCAGTTGCTAAACAAGTCGTCCCACAGCCCCGTTACGCGTACGAGAGACGGCTCTCCGAACAAGCAGTGAAACACGGCCTGAGAGAGAGTCACTTGTAGGCGTGACTGCCTGTCGAAGGATTGCAGATGTCTGCATGTGACACCAAAAAAACGTCTCTACACACTTCCAATGTGATTATATAAACAAATATACGTAGTTGACTGTTAGATGCTTGTTATCGAATGATATAAAAAGTAGAAAAATAAATTAAAGGGGTCAAATTTGGAGAGAAATGTACGAAATTGGAGCCAACTTTGTCGATTTTGGACAGCGATTTTCTCCTATGTGCATATTTTTCAGATACATAATTTCAGTATTTTCTTAAAGCTTATTCGTCGTTGTATAACAACATATATAACTTATTTCACGCACACCAACGCACACCTATGTGCCAGCGCGTTGAAACATATCTACTTTCCTCAAACTGCTCGCAGTTGCTAAACAAGTCGTCCCACAGCCCCGTTACGCGTACGAGAGACGGCTCTCCGAACAAGCAGTGAAACACGGCCTGAGAGAGAGTCACTTGTAGGCGTGACTGCCTGTCGAAGGATTGCAGATGTCTGCATGTGACACCAAAAAAACGTCTCTACACACTTCCTATGTGATTATATAAACAAATATACGTAGTTGACTGTTAGATGCTTGTTATCGAACGATATACAAAGTAGAAAAATAAATTAAAGGGGTCAAATTTGGAGAGAAATGTACGAAATTGGAGCCAAATTTGTCGATTTTGGACAGCGATTTTCTCCTATGTGCATATTTTTCAGATACATAATTTCAGTATTTTCTTAAAGCTTATTCGTCGTTATATAACAACATATATAACTTATTTCACGCACACCAACGCACACCTATGTGCCAGCGCGTTGAAACATATCTACTTTCCTCAAACTGCTCGCAGTTGCTAAACAAGTCGTCCCACAGCCCCGTTACGCGTACGAGAGACGGCTCTCCGAACAAGCAGTGAAACACGGCCTGAGAGAGAGTCACTTGTAGGCGTGACTGCCTGTCGAAGGATTGCAGATGTCTGCATGTGACACCAAAAAAACGTCTCTACACACTTCCTATGTGATTATATAAACAAATATACGTAGTTGACTGTTAGATGCTTGTTATCGAACGATATACAAAGTAGAAAAATAAATTAAAGGGGTCAAATTTGGAGAGAAATGTACGAAATTGGAGCCAAATTTGTCGATTTTGGACAGCGATTTTCTCCTATGTGCATATTTTTCAGATACATAATTTCAGTATTTTCTTAAAGCTTATTCGTCGTTGTATAACAACATATATAACTTATTTCACGCACACCAACGCACACCTATGTGCCAGCGCGTTGAAACATATCTACTTTCCTCAAACTGCTCGCAGTTGCTAAACAAGTCGTCCCACAGCCCCGTTACGCGTACGAGAGACGGCTCTCCGAACAAGCAGTGAAACACGGCCTGAGAGAGAGTCACTTGTAGGCGTGACTGCCTGTCGAAGGATTGCAGATGTCTGCATGTGACACCAAAAAAACGTCTCTACACACTTCCTATGTGATTATATAAACAAATATACGTAGTTGACTGTTAGATGCTTGTTATCGAACGATATACAAAGTAGAAAAATAAATTAAAGGGGTCAAATTTGGAGAGAAATGTACGAAATTGGAGCCAACTTTGTCGATTTTGGACAGCGATTTTCTCCTATGTGCATATTTTTCAGATACATAATTTCAGTATTTTCTTAAAGCTTATTCGTCGTTGTATAACAACATATATAACTTATTTCACGCACACCAACGCACACCTATGTGCCAGCGCGTTGAAACATATCTACTTTCCTCAAACTGCTCGCAGTTGCTAAACAAGTCGTCCCACAGCCCCGTTACGCGTACGAGAGACGGCTCTCCGAACAAGCAGTGAAACACGGCCTGAGAGAGAGTCACTTGTAGGCGTGACTGCCTGTCGAAGGATTACAGATGTCTGCATGTGACACCAAAAAAACGTCTCTACACACTTCCAATGTGATTATATAAACAAATATACGTAGTTGACTGTTAGATGCTTGTTATCGAATGATATAAAAAGTAGAAAAATAAATTAAAGGGGTCAAATTTGGAGAGAAATGTACGAAATTGGAGCCAACTTTGTCGATTTTGGACAGCGATTTTCTCCTATGTGCATATTTTTCAGATACATAATTTCAGTATTTTCTTAAAGCTTATTCGTCGTTGTATAACAACATATATAACTTATTTCACGCACACCAACGCACACCTATGTGCCAGCGCGTTGAAACATATCTACTTTCCTCAAACTGCTCGCAGTTGCTAAACAAGTCTTCCCACAGCCCCGTTACGCGTACGAGAGACGGCTCTCCGAACAAGCAGTGAAACACGTCCTGAGAGATAGTCACTTGTAGGCGTGACTGCCCGTCGAAGGATTACAGATGTCTGCATGTGACACCAAAAAACCGTTTCTACACACTTCCTATGTGATTATATAAACAAATATACGTAGCTGACTGTTAGATGCTTGTTATCGAACGATATACAAAGTAGAAAAATAAATTAAAGGAGTCAAATTTGGAGAGAAATGTAGGAATTGGAGCCAACTTTGTCGATTTGGACAGCGATTTTCTCCTATGTGCATATTTTTCAGATACATAATTTCAGTATTTTCTTAAAGCTTATTCGTCGTAGTGTAACAACATATAAATACTTATTCAGGCACACCAACGCACACCTATGTGCCAGCGCGTTGAAACATATCTACTTTCCTTAAACTGCTCGCAGTTGCTAAACAAGTCGTCCCACAGCCCCGTTACGCGTACGAGAGACGGCTCTCCGAACAAGCAGTGAAACACGGCCTGAGGGGGAGTCACTTGTAGGCGTGACTGCCTGGTCAACATCCATAGATTACAGATGTCCATAAAAACAAACAAACGTAGTTATTGACTGTTGTAATACTTGTTATCGAACAATTTAACATCAAAACTAACGAATAATTGGCGTCATTTTGCATGGTGTTTGTCATGCACCTCACTGTCGCAGTTTAATTAGCATCTCTATATGATTATGTAAAAGAATACTTGAAACGGTCCGAAAGGCATGCATTAGGCACCTCTGTTCAAAATGTAAACATATTAACTTGGTCTCGTCGCCATATGGCTGAAATAATACCGATTCGACGTTAACAATTAACTCGCTCACTCTTATTTCAGAATAGGTGCGTTAGTTTTCTAACAAGAGAAAGGTTCGATCACGTGATACCCTGCACAACCGCAGTGGGGGGTGAAAATAAGGCGAGCATGGCCGAGTGAGCTCGGGGGTTATCGGCAATTGTTTGTAAATCTTGCCTCGCGAACGATCGACGTATCGGCACTTTTAATGACTGTCAGATCAATATTTAGGACAGAATATACATTAATTTGTGAGATGATGTCTTGGAACATGTATGACACGATAAACTTTCTTTATACACAAAATATACCCGAGCACAGGTGGACAGGAAATTATATAATCTGGTCCAAACGGCCTATCACGCACGCAGAATACACTACTATATAGAATATACTACTGCATCGCACGTGTTTTACCTAATTGCCGAGACTGCCTGTATATTCAGTGCAATTTGAGGTGGTCATAAATCCTACAGGTCCCTCCCCGTACCTATACATGGCCCTGAAGAACTGGCCGTGTGCGCGCTCACAATGTATATTTCCAAATACAATATACAATTCCAAATATATATTTTTTTTCATTATTCACACCATACCCCATAGATGCGGTAAAGTAAATATAAAATTGGATTTGCTTGTGGGTTTGTACCCCCCCCCAACCCCCTCCCCACCAGAGATTGATTTATTTATACTTTATTAGGTCATTTATGCTAAAGCGATGTAAACCATTATATATGCCTATCAAAGACTTCGCAGAAACCGTGCTTGTATAATTTCGTTGGCTTCCTTTGGATATGGCTGACACAGCCTACCCACATGTGTGATTCGAGTTGCTAAGCGAAATCAGTATGCACGTCCCTGATATGCTGCCGATTGGTGCGAGTAGTGATTCAACTTGGATTGGAATTGACACTTATTGAGGTTAACTAATCTGCATAAGCACCGGTTACGTGTTCTTTCATAATGGGATTATCAGAGGATAGTAATTGACACAACTGTTCCCAAGACTTATTTATTCATAAAACTATACAATGACCAAAAAAATCATGATAATATACATGTGTGTCTGTCTCAACAGTACAAGTCATCTTCTGGAATCCTGCCAGTTTTCGGTTTTTGATCAAGCGTGTGCCTGTTGGAGACTTAAAAGGGATTAACATTGGACCACTGTCGTGGTGAATTTACTGCACTAAATCTATCGTGAAAGAACGGGGTAGCGTTCTGCAGAGATCCATCATTCATCGCTGACGTGATGACGCCAGGTCTTTGGGACCCTACCCACACATTGTCCATCTGGTAGCAGCAGTTGATGGCTGAGGTGTCGAATTGGTTGCCCGGTTCTTGGTGAATCTTCATCATGTTCAACGGCAAGGCGATTGGTGGTTATACCCGGAAAGCATGATATCTGCAGAATAAAAAAGACATGTCGATTTCATCCAATTGATGAATACCTGTTTTTCAGTTATTTCGAATACATCGAATGCTGTGTGTATAGCTGTTTGTAGACCATTTATGAAAATTTATGATATCTTTGAACGGTTGCATGTTCCACAAGTGTGGGTTTCATCTTTACTTCGCAAGCCTCAGAACTGTCGAGTAACCATTAGGGTAAGTCGAGTTGTTTCGGCATATGTTATATTCCCAAATCCCGTCGAATCAATGACATCAACTATTATCAGTAGTATATTTGTTGTAGCATAACACGTCATCCGTCTAACGTTTGTGGTTACACGCATGCGCTTTTAAAATAAAGTTTGGTAGCGGAATAGAAATTGAACTAGTACGCTGCTACAGTTCCTTACTTACCCATAAATTGTGGAAAATACCACTACAGGATACACCGACGCGTGTGTAGTGACTGGAAAAACTTCGGATCCCCATCCAGTAGGTCCACGGAAAGAATGCACATATTGAACTAAGGACGAAAACCTTTTCGTCAGCTGATCCATAACTTTAGTCTAGTGTGGATGAATAAACGGTTATGCTCACGCTTGACAAATCTAAATATGACGAATGAATTAACAATTGTTGAACAGTTGCATTAGTTTACATGACATAAACCACTACGTCGTGCATGGATATTTGTTCATAAAATAGCAATTGCTAAACGGTAACAACATATATTCAATATGAAACAGCACGGACCTACATGTGATGCAGGTGATTAAAACCGCTTAGTTGTGGGCATAGTCTGACCACCGACTGGCTCACACTGGCTAATCCCCTTCTGATCGATCAATATACAACTGTATCGTGTTAAAATATGCACTCGTCTATATTTATATTATTTCAGACATTGTCATGTTACTGATAATACGGGATTAAATACGAAATGCTATACATTATCATTGCCTGTTTTCAATTGTGTTCATACAAGAACATAATTCAATTTCGTCTGCTGTCATTACACCACCAGTTAAAAAATTATATGGGAGGGGGCATCAATTGGTGCGAGAATCGTATATAGGTAACTTCCGGGTCTCTCGAGGGGATACGTATAAATAGTAATCCTCCAGACTTTTACAAACGAAATATATTTTATACTGTTAGCACCTTCTTTGTTTTTAACGAGCCTACTATCAAAGTTCTTGCAGCAAATACTGTGCTATAGTTAATCACTGTCACTGTCCTTGTGCAATTGAGGCTGTAATTTGAGAACACGGTACCAGCACCAATTGCCTTCAGTTGTATATTGTCGTTTAACAACGCGCATTTTGATAGGCTGACTGTTGACACGTGAGCAGCCAAGCTCAGGTATTAACCGTTCGCTATCGTAAACATTGTCGTTGACAATACACACGGGTTCTCTCTATACCCGTTATTTCGTTATAAGCGCTTTCATCATTGTAGTATTCTATTCTATTCTCATCACTTTATTATGAGGACAACAAAACGCGGGTCAGTCGTCTCGCCGGCTCCTCTTCAATTAGATCGCGTAATCACAAGATGCAAATTAGCATAACACCGGAAATCCTGTTATTACACGATTGAATATTCCATTCAATACTTTTCAGATATACGAATCGTGCATCAATGAACGGATTTATTTCCAGAAACACCGCTGACGAACAGGTAGATGTGAGCTGATTGCTATTTCCGGCCTATAATTTACGAGAAAATACATGCGGTATTTTTAATATCTGCATATAAAACAATGCCAAGCAGAACAGAAAATATAGGATACTGCGCATAATATGATAATGATCGTGTATACACTAATCGACAACAAAAACACGTCAATGTGGCTGCTGCTCAGATAGGTGTCGTTTGGCGCAGCAAGAATAGAGCGAACCGCAATCAGGTGGATTTATCATGATGACTAAGCGTTTCTCCACTGCCACAAAAGGCTAAATTGTATATCACGTGATCGGACATTTTGATAGTTTTTCTTGTTATATCGCCGAGGAACAATTATCGCTAACCGTTATAGCGCGCACGTGGTTGCATCTCATTTTAGTTTTGAGAGTCTTAGTTTTCATAACAAGGGAGAAATATTTATCCGAAAACAATGATCAAAAGGACTCTTGTGCGGAAATATTTTTTCAAAACCCGCAATATTCACCTTGCTCAATATCTTCAATATCCTATCTTCCTCAAAATACAATTCTGAAATCTATTTGAGGTACACATAGGGATAAGCAAGATCGAATTTGGGGAATATTGTCAGTTTGCAAAGAACAAATTGATAATAGCATTTCTTATTAATTTTGGTGAATTAAAATAATATTGAGCGCGAAAACTGGAATATCCCCAAAATGTAATTTGTAAACTGGAACTGTGGGCGTGATCACGTGCTGTAAGGCGATTGCGAGAGCTGGTACAATAAGTCACCGGTAAAGTTTCCACTGTTCCCTATCGTAGCACAGACAGACATTGTAACGCTATAACCGAAATCAACTGAATCTTATTCAAGAAAGCGCATATGCTCACAGTTTCACAAAAATTAAAGTTATTGGTACATTCAACTTTGTAGCCTGCAGCCTCGGGTTTCGCGGTACTTGTCATAAACGGAACAAATGGCACTCACTAACATTTATGATTATTCACTCCTGTTATGCCAAAAGTATGTATTTATGATTTGGCTACTAGTGAAGAAAGTACTGCTAAGTATGAAATTTTGGCCCTAATTATCTCCTAATATATCCTGACCACAGCGCGGGAAAATGTGCGGGCTACGTAACTTCCGTTACCTTATTAGTCTCCATGAATATGTAGATGAGCTAGTTCAGCTCGAGAGAGAAAGTTTATTTGGGAAACTGCCGGTCATATCGCTGTCCATTGACAGATGGGGGTAAGGCAATAATAAAAAAATAAAAGATACCAGAAGTAAGTATCAATGCGATAATGACCCCTAACTTGCAGCAGACGGAACATTCCGAGGAAATTGAAATTGTTTACGGAGCGAGCACTTCCTGGTTACTGATTGTCATAACAGACACCCGCTAAAAGGCGTGTCCCGCGTGAGCGACCGGAAATCACAAATGCCGCGATACGATGAATGCCGCGGTACCACGAGGTCAGAGTATACACGGAATATGCCAGAAATAACATGAAAAATGGCGATAACTGGTCGCTAGCTTCGACGTGTACACTTTCAAGTGTATCCAGTCCAGAATGACATGTTGACATGTTTTAACTGTTCGAAAATAGGGTATGTGAAAATAGGAAGGCGGATGCCCCGATGCACACGCGAGCCGCCAGTCACGACCTTGGGTGGATTGTTGTGGTCCCTCTCGGCAGTGGGTGATTTTACATAGCGCTTTAATTACTTTCGCGGAGGTCGCGGGTGACAGCACAGCCACGGTGATTGAATTAATTAGTATCAAGCGCTTCACTGAGTACTGCGGACCGCACCGTCTCGCGTACAAGAGACGGCTGAGCCGTCACGCGTACACGTTACGTCTGTGACTGATAATGAAATATAGTTCCGTGTAGGAGCCGACATCTGTAAGTTCTCTATATGTCACACAGTAGGGACATTTTCCTCCTCCTGTTTCCTGCGAAGTCCAAGAGTTAAATACCGCTTTGCTAATTCCACTGACAGATTGAGCGTACCGGTTCTACGAAGAGGCCAAGCAGGAAACACAGGCGTCGGCCCAAGAACTTGATGTCCGAGTACCAGCGGCGTCAGCGGAGGGTGTCATGGCTGGAGACACACATCTGGCATGCCAAGAGGTTCCATATGATAGAGAAGTGGGGCTATCGCCTTCCTGATCATCCCAATGACAAGAGCATGAGAGCCTGTCACCGGGCGGCAGATAAATACTGCCTGTTGCAGGTAATGTGAGCCGCAATGTAGAATCATGTATTCTGCACTTAATTGCGATTATTCTGAGAAGGGTTTTGGACAGCATTATCAATAACCCTCTGAGAGTGAGGTACATGTCATCTTCTCAAGGCAAAAGAGTTAACTGACTGTAAAAGTCCAGTTTCCACCCTTGCCGAACTAGGCTGGTATTATGGAGTTACATTTTGGCTGGACTAATGAGTCTATGCATAGTCCAATCAAAATCGTGCAACGAAATCGAAATCCGGTTGGTAAACTGTCGTGTAGATTTCAGTCGATTACAGGATTTGCAAAGCATGTACACTGCCAACTCGATGTCAACAAATATTTTCCAAATCGTTTCATGTTTTTAATCAAGGTGCTCACGCAGTTTGATGCATTTCGTGATGTAAGACCCGTGTTATCACAATATAGATCTTGATTATCGAGCAGATCGTCTTGACTGGGCGCCGCCATTTTGTTTCATACAACTGCAAGTGATACGAGAGGTGGAATCTGATTGGTCCATAGGAGAGGCTTAGAAGGGACATGACTTGTAATAACCACTGGTGGCGCTACGATTGAGCCCAGGAATTCCAGCCTAGTTCGGCAAGGGTGGAAACTGGACTTTGAAAGTCAGTTAACTCCCTTGCCTCGTGAAGATGGGTAAATGTGAGATAGTGTATGGCATGGAATCTTCTTTCAAAAAGCCCTGGAAACTGGAACTTTGGTCTGTAGTATAACTCAGATTTGTCCATGAGGTCTCCTGTGTTTAGCTGTGGATGGTGTGGGCCTTATGTTGTAGGATGTCTCCTGTGGATAGTGTGGGCCTTGTGTTGTAGAATGTCTCCTGTGTTGAGCTGTGGATTGTGTGGACCTTGTGTTGTAGAATGTCTCCTGTGTTTAGGTGTGGATGGCGTGGGCCTTGTGATGTAGGATGTCTCCTGTGTTGAGCTGTGGATGGTGTGGACCTTGTGTTGTAGAATGTCTCCTATGTTGAGCTGTGGATGGTGTGGGCCTTGTGTTGTAGAATGTCTCCTGTGTTTAGCTGTGGATGGTGTGGGCCTTGTGTTGTAGGATGTCTCCCGTGTTGAGCTGTGGATGGCGTGGGCCTTGTGTTGTAGGATGTTGCCTGTGTTTAACTTTGCATGATGTGGGTCTCTTGTTGTAGGATGTCTCGTATGAGGGTTGTATCGAGATGACCGGCCGGGAAGACAGCATCAGACTCTGTCTGTCACACATGGTGTCGGACCAAACAGGTGAGGTGAGAAAGTGGCAGGCCATTATTATTGAAAGATTAAGCAGTCAATAGGTCTTGTTTACTTCTTTCCATCCCAGAATAAGTAGACTCTTTTATAATTGGATTGTTTACCCCCTTCAACACAAAATATCTAATGTTTGTAATATTAATTGTGTGATTGATAATCTCAGACATTTTAAATCGCTCATTTCAGTTGTCAAAATGTCTGCATGGTAAAAACACATGACATGCTAGTTTGTGTAGGAAAATATAAGATAGTGTTCGCTGCCTAATAGACCCGCAAGATGTAAAAGTTAATGTATCAGTAGTCGGGAGAGTAAGTTTCCCAGGTGCTGTTAACTAATGTGGTGCTTCAGGTGATTGCATATATATGTAATGCTATGCCACAAAATTTCCAGTTCTACATCCGATAATGAATAGAGAGAGAGAAGGGTGTTGATACTGAAGAGATATAGATACAAATCTAAGTGTTTATTCTCGGGCTGCCTCTATGCTGTAGTGGGTAGAGCGGCTCCCTGGAGAAGGTCTGTGCCCCAGCCGTTACATAACAAAAGACATTAAAAGATGGTACTTGTTGTTTCCCTGCCTTGCATTCGGCATTAGCGGATAAGTGAGAACTGGTCCGCTTGGAGTCGGCATGCTGATTGAAATCCATGTTTAACTGCGGCATGGTATCTCAGTAGACTAGCACTAAAAAATTGGCATTAGTCCTGACTGGTACAAGCAGAAATACTCACACATGTTGCTAGACCCTATTTCACCTGTGTGTCTTCCTTGTCCTGTGAGTGTTGAGGATGATTGTTTCAGGACCCACCCTTCTAGGCAAGCAGTATGTGAAGGGAAGCAAGTGGGGCGAGACGGTGATGTTTAGTCAGGACCAGTATCCGTACCAGGCAATTGGTCGCGTGTCCTTCCTGTGGAGACCTCCGCAGTCGGAAGACAGCACAGACAGACAGCTGTGGATGTGGAGTCATCCAGCGAGTTTTGAAAACATCTGGCAGGAATTAGTTAAGTGCGTGACACTAGAATTTGGTGTCAGTCCACACAAAGAAGAGACACCCTTGCAGAATGGCAAAGAGAAAACGGATGGGAAAACTGAAGATTGCAGCCCTGAGAAAACTGACTTAAGGGATCTCCAGTTTAAAGCTGGTGGTATCAAACTCAAGTCCTTGAAAGACAGCCTGTGTAGGTTCCGTCTTACTGGTCACACATCACAGGCTATTGTAGCTAAGGTGTTGCAGCCCAGTGATGTCAGTGTAACAGATGTAACAGGCTCCCTCTGGTGGCAGAAGTTTTATGCAAGGGAAGACAATCAAAGTAGTTGTGCAAAACAGAAGCTGGTATCTGATTGGCTGAAGAGATGTCAGTCAGCAACAGAAGCTCCGCCTTCACAGGTGGTTGCACTGACAGTCCGAGATCCCCGACTGTTACTGCCACCCAAGAAGATTAAAGTAATGCCCAAAGTGGAAGGTAACTGTTCGTGTTTTGGTGTAGCAGTATCCTGTATGTGCAGGCTACTGCAGGGTTTGAACTTTTCGGGTAGGATTTGGAATAAAACCATGCATGTGTGCCTGATTCCTCTGAAAAGGGAACAGCTAACAACCTGACATGATAGACAACTCTCTTCAAAATACAAGAGGAGTAGTCGGGTAGCCTAGTGGTTAAAGCGTTCGATCCTCACACTTAAAAACCCAAGTTCGATTCCCGACATGGGTACAATGTGTGAGGCCCATCTGGTTTCCCCCGCCAAGATATTGCTGGAATATTGCTAAAAGCGGCGTAAAACCATACTCACTCACTCATTCAAAATACAAGAAATGCTTCCCCCATAAACGGCCCAATTTATGTACCATGCTCCATTGCAAATAAGTTTCAGCTGGAAAAGAAAATATCCAATTCTCATCCATGTGTCTGGTGTGACTAAGTGGAATTGTTTTTTTCTGATTGTTTTCATTTATATCTGTAGCCATGTGTCGTCCTGTCAGTATGTTATGCATCCCAAGCCGTGTATGAAGTTAAGCATGATGGGGTCCTTGCCATAGACCTGGTAACTCTGATGTGAAAATTTAAAGGTGTTGAAGTTTTAGTCAGTCAATCTCATAAAATAAGATCTTAGTTCTCGCTATCTCTAAACAAAGATCTGAGGACATCCCATTACGGGTCACGTCAGAAGGACCTTATATCCGACTAATCAAAGCATCGCTTTCCAGATCATGAAAGTGACAGTTGGAATGTGTTTTCTAATCATGCAACCACGAAAACATTTACACGGGGTATTTTGAACGACAGTTACGGCCCGTACGACTGATTCTGTCAAAATCACCGTCTATCTCTCACTTCCATGATAGAAACATTTGAACGGAAGAGGCGTTGCACAGTACGTGGGAAGCACTGCCATAAAATCTCAATCCTCTATTAGACATTCCCTAATGTTTGTTCAGTTTTCAAAATTTGAATCGAGAACTGTGTCAACATATTTTTCAGGCGAAGTCTGAAATGGAAGTTGCCAGGTTGAAACGAGTGCTGTAGAGCTTGAGAAAGTTGTTTTCTAATTTGCCTATGTCGGCATTTTCTTAGTAATTTCAGTGGTCGTTCAAAGTTTGCGAAAGGTCGGTCTGATGTGACCCATAATGGGATGTCCCCAGATCTTTGTTTAGCGGCAGCGAGAATTTAGATCTGACTTTAATGAGATTGAGTTTTAGTACATGTACTCCAGCAGTAGACCTTCATTGATTTCTTCACAGCTAACTGGGTGTCATGACCTTATCAACTATTTGAGTTTGTAGTGAGTTTGGAATGTAATAGTTGCCTGTAATGTGATGTCTTTCATTGTTGTTCAGATGTAGTTGTGTACCAAAACGTCAACATTTCACAGGACCAGGTAGCTCAGAGGTAGAGCGCCAACTTACTGTTGGAGGTCGTGGGTTCAAGTCCTGCCCTGGTCTGAGATTCATGTCATTTGCTTCTTGTCATTTGATAACGGTTCATAGCTTAGTGAAGTGATTATCCAGTTCTATTTAAGTTGAGCAGACACAGTCCAGCCCTACTGATGCTGAACTGGTCCAGACTTCTCCTCTCTGGGATGAAGCTGTGCGACAGGAAGTGAGGTCATCCAAGATGGCTGACCATGAGCTGAACAAAAGACGTGGTGAAAATCTTGTGCCAGGTGAAAGTGTGCAACAATCATGGCAATTGCCACGTAGAGACCCTTATGTGTCATGAAAGCAGCCAGGACTTAAGTGTTACAGATACGTTGCTATTTGGTAGCTTTGACCGTTGTATGTTGGTGGATAGGAATTTGTTCAATCTAAATTTGGCAATAGTGTTGTTGGTCTTAAATATGTTTAAATGAGTTATTTCAATTTATTGTCTGACTGCTAATAGATTCCATTTTACTTTATGACAATAAAAATGATAAAATCTGATTACCAATGAAAGGTAACTGAAAAGCATTTTTAATGTGATTCTGTAATGAGGGCTTTTTGGTTGCAGGAATGCCTGTTGATCTTGGATTGGATGAGTCCCGAATACCCGTGTTGCTGCTGCAGAGGCCAGGCTATAGGACTACCATCTCAGCCAGCAGACAGCAGCAGCCCAAGTCTGTCCACCAGGGGTTCGGATGTGGGTGGGACGTGATTGTTCCACAAGGATGGGGCACAGCCTTCCATATTGCTCTTGTGTTCCGTGGAGCAAGAGTTGGGGGACTGAGAGAAGCGACTGCTGTGTCACGCGAAGCAGGAACTCTGCAGTTCCCGGCTGACTTCCCGGACACCCAGGCCGGGAAAGAGTATGCCGCTGGTCAACAGGATCAGCTGAAGAAGAAGTACGACCGCAACCCTCCAGCCAAGCGGCCCAACTTTGTGAAGATGGGTGTCCAGAACCCATTCCTTTGTCCCTGGTCACAGTTAGTGGATGAATGGCAATCTACAACTGCACCACAGTCCACATCTGGTCAGATCTTCGTCCTCAGGAATCTACGAATGTTGAAGCTGTTGAATGAAGTCATGAGGATGCAAAGAAAAGGTGATGGCTCAAACTTGAGCAGGTTTGATGCATTTCCTGGAAAGGCTGAATTGGAGAAGTTAGTATCTTCCAATGCTCGATGTTTAATTCCTCTTCGGATTACAATGCATGGGAAAGGTGTTCCACTGAAGTTTGCTCACATTTGTATCCCCAAATCTGAAGATTTTGAGAGTCTTAACAAGGACTCTGATACTGGAGGTCCTTGTGAACCAAAGCATCCTGATCCTGAGGGGGTAAGGAGAAGAAAGGCAAGAAAACAAAACAAAAAGTCCAAGAAAACAAAGACAATTGATCTTAAGTCAGCTCTGGCAACACCATCTAATCCCATGGAAGCAGCTTTAGCCAAGATGCTTACACATGGAGATGAATCAAGCAAGGAAGATAATGAAAACAAGGATTTCTCTCCAGAAAAAGAATTGTCCAATGCCAGCTCATCTGGTGAGAGACTTATCAGCAGTACGAAACGTCAGATAATTGGCTTTGTGAATGATGGAGACTTTTCTCTGGGACAAGGTCAAGGTCATGGGAAGGCATTCTGCTCTCTGCCTGGTCTTCTGAAGCTGATGTCTGAGATCTCAGCAGGTGCCCCATGTCTGGCATTGGTGAGGAACACCACCACTCTGCAATACCGCTTTGTCTGGCTGTCAGTCATCATGTAGTCAGTGGTGTGTTATCCTAGATCCCAGCAGGTGCCCAATGTCTGGCATTGGTGAGGAACACCACCATTCTGCAATACCGCTTTGTCTAGCTGTCAGTCATCATGTAGTCAGTGTTGTGTTATCCTAGATCCCGGCAGGTGCATCATGTCTGGCATTGGTTAGGAACACCACCACTCTGCAATACCGCTTTGTCTGGCCGTCAGTCATCATGTAGTCAGTGTTGTGTTATCCTAGATCCCGGCAGGTACCCCATGTCTGGCATTGGTGAGGACCACCACCACTCTGCAATACCGCTTTGTCTGGCTGTCAGTCATCATGTAGTCAGTGTTGTGTTATCCTAGATCCCGGCAGGTGCCCCATGTCTGGCATTGGTGAGGAACACCACCACTCTGCAATACCACTTTGTCTGGCTGTCAGTCTTCATGTAAGATCCTAGCATGTGCCTCCTGTCTGGCACTGGGAAGAAAGGACCAGACTCTACTTAACCACTTTGTCAGTCATCATGTCGTCCATGCCAGACTAAGAAGAATTCAGAGCCTTCTCTTTGCTTACAATCAAAACTCATGAGCGTGAAGGTTTTGGCAACACGAACAGTAGGCGCCACACACTGGTACGAATTATCTGATTTCCTAGCTTCTGAAAGATAACCAATATAGTTCAAAGCTGATTATTTCTTTGAGGAAGGTAATGAGAAGCTTTGGCAAATCATGAAAAAATGTAAAGTATCACACTTGCAACATCAGGAACAGGTGTCGAAATATGTTGACTGAATTGAAGATGTGTTGTTGTTTGTCATAATTATATCATTATAATATGAGTTGTTATTTTATTGATGAGCTGTTGTAGAACACTTTTTCAATAACCCTAATGTTTCCAAGCACATAAGTAAAAAGAATAAAAGCATTACTGTAAATCCAGGAGTTGTGCTCTATTTCAAGTCACCTTGCGGCTGTAACCTGTTTCTTTTTCTAGTATGGTTCGTCAATCACTCACTGAGGGTGTAAAGTTGCCATTTAAACTCTCATCCTAATATTGATGTGTTTAACGATAATATTAAATAATAATAAGTGCATATATAATGCGCCAGATTCCATTCACCAAGCGGATGCTCATAGCGCTACACTATTATTACCCCGTCAATGGATCAGTGAACACTCGATTTTCATTCTCAGCTCCCTGGTGAGTATACAACCCCATAATATTTGTTTCATGTCCCTGGCTTAAACAAAGTAGGTTTCCGATTTCTTTTGGCGGTAGGTCATTCTAATAAAAAAATAAGCCTTCAAGCCTTCTCAACTTTTTCAGAAAGTGATGGACAGTTGTTTTTGGCTTTTGGCGGATGTTTATGAGGTCACTGAAGGGTTGAAGAAATCAAAGAGGCAGGGGGCAGCCTTAAAGGGGGACTAGCCAGGGTAAATAAATTACCAGTCCCAGCGAGTTTAATTCAAAAGGTTCAGGTGCTTTTACATCATGTAATTAATCCAACAATTAATGTTAACCATAATGACACAAAAACAATGTTTAAATATTGTATTAATTACATCTAGAAATGGGGGTGGTCGGGTAGCCTAGTGGTTAAAGCGTTCGCTCGTCACGAGGAAGATTCCTGACATGGGTACCATACCCGTGCATGTGGATTTCACCGAAGTGGTAAACGTCTAAGACCTGCATCACTTCGGGCTTTCCTCCTACATTAAGCTGACACGCCGCGATAAAAACTGGAATACTGTTAAAAGCGCAACCCACTCACTCACTTGATGTCTCATGCAGTCATTTCACAAGTACATGGTCCCTACGGGATTCAGTTGGCGAGTTCAGATGGGTGATGAGGATTGGTGACCTGGTTAATTGTATGTCATCGTACCCCATCGGTGTTGCATGTTGCTTGTAATATGATTCACTGGTTTGTCCAGACTTGGATTATTTAATAGCCCCCTCCATATACCTGGAATATTGTTAAGTGTGGCGTTAAACAACATACGCCGTCGCAAGAACCCCTGTTTATTGACGTCAAGTTCAGTGACGCCCAATAGCATGTAGGGAAAAGAGAGCACCCTGCTTTCATTGAGCATGATGAGTCGACTTTTCCCCGCCACGTTTTGTGCCGCCCACGCAACCTGAGTGGAGCGAATGTCTCGGTGTAGATACATGCTACAGACTAAATCAGTCTCCAAGTGGATTAAAAAGTTTACCGGAAAGTAAATCTTTACATTGAAACACTCCCCTCTGTCATGAACCGTGACGGTGAATGAGTGTGTGGCAGACTGGTAATTCAATAGCATCAGATGAAGTTTTGCAGTACATCATACTCAGACCCGTGAGGATCCGTGAGGATTCAGCCACCCATGTTTTCCGTAAGAGGCGATTAACGGGATTGGGTGGTCAGGCTTGCTGACTTGGTTGATGCATGTAATCGTATCCCAATTGCGTGAATCGATGCTCATGCCGTCCATCACTGGATTGTCTGGTTTTATTTACAGACCGCCGTCATATAGCTGGAATATTGCTGAGTGCGACGTTAAACAACAAGCTAACCAAACTGTGATGAAAATATATTTTTGTGGACGAAAACCAAAATAATTCAGCATTTAACAGTGCTATTTGAAAGATTTCGTTTTCCGCCATGCAGGAGTGTGAAAGATATAAAATAGTTCCGAATCATTATACCTTATTCAGTAAAACAAATGCAAATAATGAAACATTTCGTTATTCGTTTCACGAATCTCAAATGAATAACCAACTAGCATGGTGTTATCGAATTACAAAGTGTTAATAAAAATATTTATGCTTCAAACTGGAGAAATGTGCCTGCCACGAAAAATACATTATTGCAAGAGGGGCGGTTAGGTAGCCTAGTTGTTAAAGCGTTCGCTCGTCACGCCGAAAACCCTGGTTCGATTCTCGACATAGGCCCATTTCTGGTGTCTCCCGCCGTGATATCGCGGGAATATTCAATTTGCTCTCATAGTCAATAGTCACTCATCAGTCACTCACTCACATAATTGCAAAATGTTTTGGTAAAAATAATTATTTAGGTCCTTGGTTTCGAATAAAAAAAATATCCGGTTCTTCGTCGTCGGTCCCTAACGCGATGTTCGACAAACCCGGAGCTACTAGCATGATGGTTGAAATACTCGGAGTCCCTGAGAGGATGTTCCACATACTGTTAGCATCTTACGGAAGCCTTTTAGGGCCATTTGTTTTCATATTTTTTTTTTGAAATTTCAAGATGCTGAGTTGAAATTTCAAGATGCTAACTTGATGTTTCAAGTTACATAAGTCTAAATTTCAAGATAATAACTTGAAATTTCAACTTAGTATTTGAAATTTCACGAAATATTTTTTTTTAAAAATGGTCCTAAAAGGCTCCCGTAGCATCTGGTTTGGAGCTGCTGCAAGATGCTTGACTCGCTCATGGCTGCTGCATGATGTCGGATACACTCATCGGAGCAGCAAACATGATATTATGTCTTTGAAAAGCATTTAGAAGTGATACACGTAAGAAAGAGAATGTATGGATGTCAACAACGTTTCGCAGTATATACTTACTCCTTCATCATTCACCTGATATATTCCTCATAATAAAGAAGTTGATAAATTCTCTTCCTTAAACATGATATTGACCACACTCGGAGATGCTAACACGGTTTTGGACGCACTCGGAGCTGTTAACACGGTTTTGGACACAATCGGAGCAGTTAACACGGTTTTGGACACACTCGGGGCAGTTAACACGCTTTTGGACACACTCGGGGCTGCTTACACGGTTTTGGACACACTCAGAGCAGTTAACACGGTTTTGGACACACTCGGGGCAGTTAACACGCTTTTGGACACACTCGAGGCTGCTTACACGGTTTTGGACACACTCGGAGCTGCTAACACGGTTTTCGACACACTCGGGGCTGCTTACACGGTTTTGGACACACTCGGGGCTGCTTACACGGTTTTCGACACACTCGGGGCTGCTAACACGGTTTTCGACACACTCGGGGCTGCTTACACGGTTTTCGACACACTCGGAGCTGCTAACACGGTTTTCGACACACTCGGAGCTGCTAACACGGTTTTCGACACTCGGAGATGCTAACACGGTTTTGAACACACTCGGGGCTGCTTACACGGTTTTGGACACACTCAGAGATGCTAACACGGCTTTCGACACACTCGGAGATGCTAACACGGTTTTGAACACACTCGGAGATACTAACACGATTTTGGATCTACTCGGAGCAGTTAACACGCTTTTGAACACACTCGGAGATGCTAACACGCTTTTGAACACACTCGGGAGATGCTAACACGGTTTTGAACACACTCGGAGCTGCTAACACGGTTTGGGACACATTCGGAGCAGTTAACACGGTTTTGGACACACTCGGAGCAGTTAACACGCTTTTGGACACACTCGGGGCTGCTTACACGGTTTTGGACATACTCAGAGCAGTTAACACGGTTTTCGACACACTCGGGGCAGTTAACACGGTTTTGGACACACTCGGAGCTGCTAACACGGTTTTGGACACACTCGGGGCTGCTAACACGGTTTTCGACACACTCGGAGCTGCTAACACGGTTTTCGACACTCGGGGCTGCTTACACGGTTTTCGACACACTCGGGGCTGCTTACACGGTTTTCGACACACTCGGGGCTGCTAACACGGTTTTCGACACACTCGGGGCTGCTTACACGGTTTTGGACACACTCGGAGCTGCTAACACGGTTTTCGACACACTCGGAGCGGCTAACACGGTTTTCGACACTCGGAGATGCTAACACGGTTTTGAACACACTCGGGGCTGCTTACACGGTTTTGGACACACTCAGAGATGCTAACACGGCTTTCGACACACTCGGAGATGCTAACACGGTTTTGAACACACTCGGAGATACTAACACGATTTTGGATCTACTCGGAGCAGTTAACACGCTTTTGAACACACTCGGAGATGCTAACACGCTTTTGAACACACTCGGGAGATGCTAACACGGTTTTGAACACACTCGGAGCTGCTAACACGGTTTTGGACATTCTCGGAGCTGCTAACAACATGTTTGACTAACTCGGAAATGCTGGCGTTTTATTATCGATTGGTGTTTTGGGATTTCTTATTGGTCACAGGTGTTATTGATTACAGTATAATATTAACATGATATTGTTTGGGCTAGTGGATTTTTGTATCGATTGGCCTAAAAACATTCCACTTCACACTTGATCTTCGCATATGTATTTCACATAAGAAAATCGTGTATATGTTGGCGAATAATGACAGGATATACATCACACCAGTGTCCGAGCTGTTGTGTGTGTGTGTATATATATAAACAATTCAATCATAAAGTAATGAATCGTAACATTCTACAAGAACAGTACAACAGCGGCGAGATGTCCAACTTTACAACTGGGAGATGCCATGTTTGAACAAGTACATTGCTTTACAACTGGGAAATGCCATGTTTGAATAAATACATTGCTTTACAACTGTGAGATGCCATGTTTGAATAAATACATTGCTTTACAACTGTGAGATGCCATGTTTGAATAAATATATTGCTTTACAACTGTGAGATGCCATGTTTGAATAAATATAATTGCTTTACAACTGTGAGATGCCATGTTTGAATAAATACATTGCTTTACAACTGGGGGATGCCATGGTTGAACAAGTACATTGCTTTACAACTGTGAGATGCCATGTTTGAATAAATACATTGCTTTACAACTGGGAGATGCCATGTTTGAACAAGTACATTGCTTTACAACTGGGATATGCCATGTTTGATCAAGTACATTGCTTTACAACTGTGAGATGCCATGTTTGAATAAATACATTGCTTTACAACTGGGAGATGCCATGTTTAAACAAGTACATTGCTTTACGACTGGTAGATGCCATGTTTGAATA